CGCCGGCTGTGCAGATGACTCCGGTCGGCCTCGGCCCGAGCCGTCCTCGCTGTCGGTCTCGGCAGCCGGGGTGGGGCGGGGAGGGCGCTGCCGGTGATCTGTCTGCGGCGGCCCGCTGTCGAAACATTCCCGGCGCGTGGGCGAAATACGGCCGGCCACTGAACTGCGCACTGTGCGGAGGTGCCGGTGACGGCGCCACAGGCTTGCGTCAGGCAAATGTGAGCTCGACGTGCGAGTTTATGATAAACGTCATGATATATTCTGGTTTAGCATTGAATGTTCATGGCTACCGCCCAAGATAACAACTATCCCACTCTGTTCACATTGTCGCGGAGACTTGGACGACAAAGCCCGTGAAGGACCGTCGCCAGACGCTCCCAGCGACGCGGACCGCTGTGGGCTCCCATCTGCGGCTGTCCATGGAAAGCCTGCCCATCGTTCTCCCCTCCGCCCTCGTTCCCCGCAGCCCTGGCGCAGCTGCAGCGAGGACTCCGAGCGGCCGATGATTTGCGGACGCCTTTCACGCACGGCCGGGGCTGGCCGCCCACTCCTCCCGTACCCGGGTCACGTGCCTGCGCCCGATGAACGGCGCGTTGTCGGCGTGTTGGCCGGGCCGCGCGGCCCGCACGAGGCTCGTCGCCCCGACGCGCACCTGTCGCGGCGGCCCGGCGGCGCGCACCGACCCGCGACGACGACGCCGCCGCCGCCGCCGTGCGCGCATATCGCGTTTTCTGGGACGCGTGAAGCGGCAAAACAAATAGCGCTGGCCGACGCGCGGAGACGGATGGCGTCTGGCCGCCGGGCGGGCGGCGGGCGACGGACCGTGCTTCTGCGGTCGGCACGTGCCGCCGGCCTCTCGTCTTCCGGCTCGTGTTTCCGCCGGCGGCGCTGCACGGCGCGCCGGGCGGGTGTCGCGTGATGAAACTGCCGGGCCGTCGGCGGGCGGTGCGGCCGCGCCGCCCATCGGCTGCGCTGGCCGGCGAACGGCACGCACCGTTCGCCGAGATGGATGGCCGGGCGGGTCGTTACACGTGAACCCGCGCTGCGATTCCGGCTCGCTGATGGCGCCCGCGGCGATGCGTCGGAAGGGGCGGGGGCGATGCGTCATCGCGCGACGGCGGCTGTCTCATTACCTGTCGGTCCACTCGCGCGGCCGTGGATTGGGCCGCCGGTGAGCGCCTCACCTGGGCGCTTGCCGCGCGGATCCTCCGGTCCCTGCGCCTCGCTGCTGGGTGGCGCCGTTTTTACGCGTGGCTTTCTGTGTCATCGTCCGCCAATGGAGCGTGGACGTGCCATCGGATACAGGCCATTAAAGCTTCACACCTTTGGCAAACCGTCCCGTAAACAAGAGCGTCGTGCTTTCGTTTTGAGCGCATGCGCAAAACCAACATTCCGCGTCGGCCATAAATCCGGTGATTGGCGGCGGTCTTGGCGGGGCGCCGCGCTCGGACGAGAAGCACGCGCCTGCGGCCGGCTGCGACTTTACCTCCACGGGCCCGCTCTCCGGGCCTCGCTCCCGCTCCGGGGCCCCAGCGTGGCCGGTCGCTGACCTCTGCGAGCCCGCCGGCGTCAACACAGCAGTCTCGGGGCGTCCAAGGTCTGCTGGGGACTGCCGTAGCGGTCCCGCGGCGGCCGTCTGCCCGGCGGCCGCCGCCCCGCTGTTGACTTTTCATTTGGCCGTGCTGATGGGCGACACAGCCGCGGGCGCCGGGGTCGGCCGCTGGCTGGCCCCGGCGCCCGGGACACACGGCCGCTGGTCCTGGCTGTCCCCGGCTGACACTGGCCGATCCTGGCCGACCTCGGCCGACCCCAGCCGACCCCGGCTGACCCCAGTGCCTGGATTACACGGCTGGTGGTCCTGGCTGACCCCAGCTGACACTGGCCGACCCCGGTTGACCCCGGCTGATTCCGGCTGACCCTCGCTGATCCCATCTGACCCTGGTTGACCTCAGCTGACCCCGCTCACCTGGGGCTGCCGTGTGTCGTTGGCCGGAGCTGGGTGGTGTGTTCGTTCGGTGGTGAGAGGTTGGATAAGACTTACTGTTGCCTTGTTGCGGTGGCGGGGGGAGAGAGGATGTAGTGAGCCGCTGTCCGACGACACCCATCATGCATGGCGTCTGTTGAGGCTGGGCAACGCTACAGAGTAAATCATCCCCTGTCCGCGACAACAGCAACGAATGACATCGAGCGACGCTTCCGTGTCGCGCGGCCAAATTTGCTCTGCAGCAATTCGTTCCGCCGTGCTGCAGTGCAGCCCTTGTTCGCGTTAGTGTATAACTGGTCTGGATAACACGTGTTCTGTATGAAGCGGCGGCGAGCGACGCGTGAATGAGAAGGCGGCGCGGCTGAATAATCAGCTGTGATCAATCAGCGTCAGACGAGCGGTTGCGACAGCAGCAGACCTGCTGCTCTGTTCCAACCGCTTCGATTGCATCGCGCCGGTCGTGGCAGGCCGCCAGAGAGGTGTAATTCGACCGGCCTGAACCGGCGCTTTAACCTCAGTTGTGGCGAAATGTCGGACCATCACTGATGCCCACCCTCTGTTACACGAGGGAGGTGAGAGTTTTGGGTGATTGGCGTTCTTGCCGCACCTCAGGTCAGCGGCGACATCCCTTGGGGGGAACTGCCACTTGTGTGGGATGCTGCGGGCGTGGTGTCTGTTGCGTCGCTCAGAGGCGTTTGTTGATGAACCGCCCATCTTCAGTGCGACGACACCTAGAGCTGGGCCGACAGACGAGAGACAATGGCAGAGCGCAGCCTAACGGAGGTGTGTTCGAGGTTCATGCCTGCGCCCGAGCTCATCAGAACCTGCGCCTCGCGGGACCCCATCACGCAGAGTGCGACAGCTACAGAGTGCTGGCTGGTTCTGCTCCCCGATGTCTGGTCTGTGACCCGTGCTGCGGTCGGGCGGGGCCGGCTGGTGCTGCCGGCGGCCTGGAGCACTCAGCCGGCGTGCCCCACACCGGTGCAGTGCTGTCGACCGTCCTGAGCCGCCGTCCACCCGGGGCCGCTCTGCACGGCTCCGGGCCGTGCACGGCGTCACCCGTGACGGACGGGACCCGGCTCCTCGCTCTATAGACCACATGGAGGCGCTCGGTCGGGATTACGCCGGCGGCCGTGCGCCATCCATTCTACGCAGCGATAGCTCTGAGTTATCCCGAACGCACTTCTTTCCACCGGCGGGCCGAATCTGCTCATTAGCACCCCGGTGCTGCACAGTCCTTGATGGCGCCAGGGAATGGCTTGCCCGTGGGACACGTGTTCGGTCTGAGGCAGGCTCGAGTGACGGGTGAGATGGCAGCGGCACCGCTGGCTAGTCAGGTGCGGCTCATCAGTGTCAGGTGTGTGATTACAACAATACCAGCTCTGTAATCTGTTTCAAATGTTTCAATGTTTCGCACGCACCGAGACCGCACGCCAGCTAGCTGTTATTATTTTCGTCATAATATGCCCTCGTTTTCTTTTTAAAGGGAATGCAACGCACGTCATCGCGCACCTATTTATGGAGCGTCAGCAACTACAGAGGCCACGTTAGCGCTCTAGGGTCATGGCGCAACCGCGTTTCCAGCTCGGCCAACTCCACGTGCGACCCGAAGGCGCTAAGCACTTGGCCTTCACGCGCCCTGATATCGGTCCAGAGACTTCGCAGGTCATCGCTCTTCACAAAATCTAGAGACGCCAGGTCTGCGGCATGCATGCGACACACCCACATTTGTGAAAGAACGACAAGCTGTACGTGGCGATGGGCGCTTGTATGAGACAGCGAGCCGATGCATTAGTAGGGCCCTTAAGCCTCTCTACCCACTTTCGCGACTTCTGCCTCGACATATTCATGGGAGATGGCCGGGCGCTGGGTGTGCATCAACGGTTTACATTCTTCCTTTGTCTGACTATTGTGACGTAGTATATGACGGGCTTTTGATAGCCAGCGACTCCCTTAGACTTGAAAGACAACAGCACAGAGCAGCCAGATTCATCACCGGTGCCTTTTAGAGAGCACACACTCGTACACGGTTGGACGACACGGGATGGAGCACAATCATGTCACGAGGAGACGTACGCAGACGGACACTGTTCCACTCCCTCATCCACAACCGACATCAACTGCCAACAAACATCACTGCACTTTTATCCGATGCATGAGAATTTGCAACAAGACGTCCTCTACGCAATGCGAGGACACTCACATTGCCACCGAACAGAATCCCGACATACCAAAACTCCTACCTTCTATCAACCACGAGAAGATGGAACCAACTCCGGCCCGTTGTTGCATCCGTCTAGTGTTCTCGTTCCTTCAAACAGGAGATATACCAGCGCTGTGGTGCGACTGCAACTCCAATATATCACAGCTTTGGATCCAGGCTTGGTAACATCCTAAAAATTAGGCTGATATTGAGTATGTCAGACCTCTCCAGATGCCAGATTCCCTCATTTTCAAAGTTCAAGATTCAGCAGCGTCCATTCCCTTTTGCTTGAGTGGTCACCTTTTGTAGACCAAGCACACTATGCATTGAACTGACCTAGTTGTGATCAAATCATACTTTAAATGCTGCGTGAAACAGGTCGCATCATCCCAAACTTTTGCGAGCCCACGCACAACGACCAACTGAGTATTTATCCCATAAGAAACGATTTACAAAATGATGCCGGGCAGCAGATAGAAAAAAACATTTCTTCTTCAAACGAACCGATTCGTTTCAGAACTTCCAGCAGGCGCAGGCGGGTGAGAGGTGGCTGAATGACGTTACAGGACCGAGTGTCCGCCGCCGGCCGGAGACGGCTACAGTTGTGTCGCGCAGCGGCGACGGTTGTCTCAGCTAGCTAGCGGCGATTACTGTTTTTCGTTATTGTTAGGAGAGGCGCTCAGATTGAAGCGTTGCGCTTTTGCGCCAATCCTCTCATCATGTTATGTTCTGTTCCATGTCCATAATCGAAAATAAACAACAGACAGCCATGATCGGCGCCCACCACTGACCAGCCGCGCCGGCCTGTTGCAGTGGTCAGCAACGAGTCGGTGTGCGCCTGCCCGCGCGTCATCCAGGTGATGCTGGAAAAGGAGCAGGGCAGCTTCGGCTTCACCGTGCGCGGCGGCACGTGCCCGGACGAGCCGGCCCGTTCCCGGCCACTCACCATCACGCACGTGAGGCCCGGCGGCCCGACCGACAGGTGAGCGGCGGTCCCGCGTCAGCGGCTGGTGGGCCCAGCTGGTGAAGCCCCATTAGATGTAAAAGGCTGGCGTCTGCAGGGCTGGTGACGGTGACAGGCGAGCGCCATCACCGCCGCGGAATGGTCCCCGGTTAGTGGCCTTGGCCGCCGCGCCTTTGATGACCTGACGATGGCGTGGGGTGGTCATTGGCGTGACATGGGGTGGCGGCTTCGAAGTCGATTTGCCCCGCTGAAGCTCGCATTAGAGCTCGCGATGCGTTACACGCTGGTTGGCTGACTCACGCCGGGACAGCGGCTGTGGTTGCGGCCGTGCCATTCACAGCGCCACATGAGACGTGATGACGGGTAACACTAGGCTGGATGCCGCACTGGTGGCACGCACTGAGTCCAATACTCGTGTGACCCACCGGCAATCCAGCTGCCTTTGGTCACACACGGCCCACGGTCACGCATCGCGGTGAGCGGCCTCGCCGCCCGTAATGCAGCCGCGTCCGTGACGCCGGCGGACGCCTCCGCCGCAGGGAGGGGACGGTGAAGCCCGGCGATCGGCTGCTGGCCGTGGACGGCGTGCGGCTGACGCACGCCTCGCTGGCCGAGGCGCACCGGGCGCTGACGTCCGTGCAGCGGCAGGCCGTCATCACGGTCGAGTACGACGTGAGCGTGATGGAGGCGGTGCGCGCCGGGCCCGGCCCGCTGCTGGTGGAGGTGGAGCGGCCGCCGGGTGCGCTGCTCGGTCTGGCGCTCAGCGCCGCCGGCCAGGCCGTCGTCATCGAGAGCATCCGCCAGGCCAGCATCGCCGAAAGGTGGGCGCGACAGCCGGTGGGATGGAAGCCGGTCGTCAGCAGTCTGCTCTGTGGCCAGTGTGTGTGGTCTGTGATGCGCTCCGTCTGCTCCATCGTCTCGCTCAGACAGCATGGCCGCATCAACGAGTGATATAAAAGTCGCCCCGTTTGTATGCCACACCCTTGTGGCCCACGCTGTTTTTAAGCCTTTTGGGTATTGTCTCTTTTTGTATATTTTTGCCAGACATATCTAAGTTTGAGATACCGGCGCCCATGTTTTCTGTTAACAAGGACGCTATATCTGAGCATGAGCGCCGTCTGTCCACCCGCTGCGCTCGCCTGTGCCCGCCGCCGCCGCCGCCGCTGGGAGCGTCCGTCGGCCGGGCGCCGCTGACCCGCGCGTGGCCGGCAGGGTGGGCGCGCTGCACGTCGGGGACCAGGTGCTGGCGGTGGACGACGTCAGCGTGGAGCACATGTCGACGGCCGAGGCGACGCGGCTGCTGCAGAGCTGCGCCGGCCCCGTGGTGCGGCTGGAGATCGTGCCGGTGACGGCGCGCCGCGCCAGCGACGCCAAGCGCTGCAAGGGTGAGCCGGCCGCCACCGGCGCGCAGAACCGCTGTACTGCTGGGGCTGGGTGGGGCTGCCGATGTCCCGCTTCGGTCGAATGGTTAGTCGGTCAGGATCGTGTAGAGATCAGCAGAGATTCCCGGTCGCTCATTAGCGTAATGGTTTGTGCAGCTGAGCACCGTTCGCGTATAATCAACTCCCGAATCACCGCGTATCGTGTGGGTATTCTAATGTGAGCGTGCCTGCTGATGGCCGACCATATCAGACGAGCAGCAGACTGCACAGCTCGTGATGTGGAGCGGAGAACGGACGAGCTGTGTCCTGCGCCGCGCCGTGCCGCCTCGCCCGGCGCGTGACAGCGTCTCCGTTCGCAGCCACGCTGCCGCCGTCGCTGCAGACGACGAGCAGCGCGCTGTCGACCAGCAGCTGCGGCTCGGGCAGCTACAACACGCTGGGCTCGGCGTACCGGCGCCGGCAGCCGGGCCGGCCGGCGCGCAAGCACCGCGGCCACGGCGACGGCAGCAGCGCCGCCGGCACCCGGCAGGAGGCCGGTCAGTGGCGTCACCGACGCGGGCGGGGCAGGCTCGGGGTCCGTTGGAGCAGGGTAAGTGGGGGCGGGATGGAAGGGTGGGGTCCGCCATGCAGCAGGAGCGGTGCGTCAGGAGTGGGAGGAGAACAGAATCGGCTGTAAGCTTCTGCACAGGGCTGGACAGACGTAAGAGGGATGGGCGTGGAAAATGCGGCTGAAGCTAAGTGGAAATCTGATGCCAAACCCTCCGTCTCTTGCATGCGCTGCGGGCACTCTCCCATGGAAGGGATAGTCGACTTGCGCTGGAAAGTCGAGAAGCTGCAAGGGTCCCCTAAATATCATAGAGATTGTCGCCGCACATTTGTCCTGACATTTGGCGATGGATCTGAACACGCCATTCCCTCTTCCCCACCTCTTCGGGCCGTCCCCACCCCCTCGCCAGCGACCTAGTCGGCGCCGTCAGACGGACAGGCGGCGCCGATCTGAAGCCGGTCCGGCCAGGTGGGCCGCCGTCGGCGCCCGTCCCGGCCCGTCCGTCTCGGCCGTCCGTCCGTCGTCGGCTCGTCCTGATGCCGTTCCGCCCGGCCGGTAACACGCGGCGCCATGTCTCCGCCATCGGGGCCGGGTTTTTGCCGGCGGCGCGGCTCGGCAGCGCCGGAGCGCCGGTCAGGGTCGCCGGTGACGGGCGCCGCCCAGTTCGCGAACGGGGGAATAAGTCGCTGCTTCCTGCCGCTAATGAGCTGCTGCGGTGAGGTGTTGATCGCACCGCTCCGGGTAATGGGCGAAGGCCTGGCCTCGCACCCGAGCGTGGTTGGGATGCGTGGGAAATATGCTGTATTGGATGTGCATGGCCCTTGTAGCTCAAGGTGAAGCAGTCTAGCCTTGATTGGGATTGAGTCACGATCGCTATGGGATTGAATGATTGATTTGAAGCCCATCACTGAGCATGGAGTGCTTTTGGTCTGATGGAGTCGCGCCACACGTCCAGATATCTCATTCTGGGCCGAGCCGGGACGCGCGCGCATTCAGCCGGTGCCACGTGTCCGTTGTTCTGCCGGAGTGATGCTGTCACTCGTGCGGGAGGCCGCCCACAAATCCCATGTCGCGCGGCGTCCGGGCTGGTCGGCACACAGCTTTCTGTCGAGATCTGCGGCTGCAGTCCCGTGAGAAGGAAGAAGCAGCCGTCGCAGACCCGGCGGTTGCCTCAGGCGTGCTCAGCGGTGCGATACAGCCAGCGGCGGGAGAACAGCCGGGGTCTGGCGGCTCACGAGCGCCGCGGAGGGACGGCCGGTCGCGCCGGGTCGTCGGCCGCGGCACCTGTGCCCCGCCGCCTGACTAACGAGCGGCGGACGGCGCGCGCGCCGCCACCTGACCGGTCGCGCACCCCGTCGGCCGTTAGCGACGGCGCGCGCCTCGTTACGGCTCCGTCACGCGGCTGCCGTCCGTGACGCGACGCGGCCGGCACGCGGCCCGCCGCCGCCGGAAATACCGCCGGCGCGGCGCGCACGCTGGAGCCGCACACTTTACTGCCGCCGAGCGGCGGGAAGAGAGGGCTCCGTCCGGTGCCCGTGTTTGCTTTGCCGCCTTGCGAGAGCGGGGCGGAGGAGCCGCCGCGATCCCGGCGACCAGCTGCTCGGCGCCGAAGAACGGCCGTTACGCCGCGCGGGCGACCAGCGGCAGGTCGTCACACAGCGGAGGCGGCCGCCGTATCTGTCTGGGGACACGCATGGTTAGGCGGAATTAGGCCCCGCTCAGCCGGTCTTACGCCTGGCCGCGGCTCATCCCCGCTCGGCTTCGGCACGCCCCGTTTTTGCGTGAAAGTGGCACGTGATTGGAAGGTATTTTCGCCAGGCGGCTTCGGGAGTGTTTTTGCAGGCTGGTAGAGGGCTCAGTCGGCACGTGTTGTACCTCCAGGCGCAGGCTATTTTTCACCCCGCCGTTGTTACTTGACCGTACTTGTGTGCCTTGCAGACGCGCTCAGCTCCAATTGGTGCGTGCAAAGTGTCGAATGTCATGCCAATTTGTCTCCCATGTTTGCTTACCGCGTGGATAATGGCAGAGCTAGGGATAACACCGAGGCGGAGAAATGACCGAATGGCCAAAGCGTTTCCAGGAGCCAGGCGTGCGACAGCCGGTGCGGCAGCTGCTGACCGGCCGGCCGGTGTCCGCCAGGGTCCGTGTCGTCGGCGGGCCCGTACGCCGGCGCGGCCGCCACGCTCTGCCACCAAGAGACGACGGCGCTGACGCTGCTGGCCGACAATCAGGGCTTCGGCCTGGCGCTGACGTCGCGCTCGACTCCGGACGAGCCGGCGCCGCCCGTCATTGGCCACATCGAGCCCGGCAGTCCGGCCGACAGGTGGGTCGGAGGTCGGCCGCCCCGCGCCCGGACCGGCGCCGCAGCCGTCGGGCATGTCCAGCCGGGCTGGAGGGGGGTGGAGGAGGAAACCGGGGGACTTGGAGAAAGCTGTGGCGTCGGATCGTACTCGCCTGCTCGGGAGATAAGGTAGTGATGAAGCCGTCAGGGTTTATCAGCGGTTTCGTGGGGAGGTCAGGTTGTTGAAGATACAATACGAGGTGACGCACGATTGTCACCTTGGGTCGCTGTCTCCTTGGCTGGGTGGAGAGCGCGCAGAGGCGACCATGGACGGCCGTCCGCCTCACCGCAGCCGCACCGCGAGGTCGCCTCCGCTCCGCGTGTGACGTGTTCTGTCGTGGCGCCGGACACGCGCGGCGTCTGGCGCCCGTCACCTGTCGCCATCGCCGCCGGCGGCCGGCGGTGTCGGTGCCGCGTGCCGGGCGCGGCTCGGCTCGATTTACGGCCGTCGGCGGCGAGCCGACCCGGGCCGGCCGAAAACGGGGCCATTACCGCACGAGACGGAGGGGGAGGTCGCCGAGCCGGCGGGTGATGGGGCCACAGAGTGGCACAGGCTTGGGCACACTGGCCTCGGAGTGGACGGGCGATGCGCCCACAGGTGGTGCAGGTGTTGGCACACTGGGCACACCGGGCGTGATAGGAAATCGGAGTCTTAGCGGTATGAGCTGGAAGGTGCTGCTTAGTGGTTTAAATCATCAAAGTATTTTTTTTTCTTCGTTGCTAGGACTTGTCAATTGAGTGCCCATAAAGTGAACTGTCGCGTCAAACATCGCATTCCGAGTGGCGTACGCACACGCCAGACGTTACGGTGTTGGCCTGAGCCTTCTCCGACCGTGGTCCGCCCGCGGTCGCCTCAGGTGCGGTATTCTGCACGTGGGCGACCGTCTGCTGGAGGTGAACCACCAGCCGGTGGACGACCTGCCGGCCGAGCAGGCGTCCCGGCTGCTGGTCGACGGGCTGCCGCGCGCCACGCTCACCGTCGAGTTCGACGTGGCCGACGCCGTCGTGCCCAGCTCCGGTACATTCCTCGTCAAGGTTGGTGAGGCGGCGACGGCGCGGGCGGGGCGCTGATGGAGCACGTGCCCCGTGGAGGTGGGTTTGGCCGTTCGCGCTGGCTTGGGGGAGGGGGTGCGATGGTATGGTGGCACATGTCTCGTCCAGGCGGGTGCTCTCCTCTGGTGCTCCGGCACATCTGAGGTTCGGGATATTTGTGCCTTTTACGTTTGCATCGAGATTTGCATCGGTATGCTTGCTATTGCATAGACGCACACCTCCTTTGGCGTTTGCATGGGTTAATGTAGCCCGAGCTCGACGAAGTGGTGGCTGGGTGCAAGCGGTGTCGACGGTGGTCTGGATTTCATGCGTACACAAGTACGTACACCTGTGGTTGTGATGAAGATGTTCGACGAGGGCCTGATGTGCAGTAGCGGCCCGTGCCTACCGATTAGCAAGTCTGACGGCGTTTTCGTCCACAGCTGGTGAAGCGGTGTCCGTCGCTGGGTCTGACGGTGTCGGCGCCCAAGTCTCGCCAGCTGGGCGAGCCGCTGATCGTGGCGGACGTGGAGCCGGGCTCGGCCGCCTACAGGTCAGTCCGAGCTGGCCGGCCGCCGCCCGCCGGGGCCAGACGGCACCAGCGCTGGCACCACGAGCGCTGGCCCGTGGGACGGCGAGGAAGTGCCGCCGGCGCTCCTATCGACAGATCAGTGCTGGCGTGTGCTTTTGATAGGCCTAGGCTATCCAGTTCGCAAGCTTTGTTTAATCAGAGGTCTTCAAAGGTCACTGATAGCAGCATATCCCAATGACGCGAAGTTGATAAATCGGTAGCTGTTAAAATGTGAACGCATTCTTTCCTTCCTCTCGCTTTATGGTCCTCTTTATTCGGTGGCACACTGTTCTCTGCCGTGTCGGCGGCAAGAAGGAGCTGCTGTCGCTCCTCCGTCTGTCTGGTCACACAATCTGCACCACTATTTCTTCTCATCCGTCACTGTCAGCCCGTATTGCTGTGGCCTTCGCTGCCCATACACGGTCGTACCGGCTTGCCACTGAGCCCACAAGGCCGTCCGGTCCGGGCCGCCTCCCGTGGACTCCCCGCCGCTCCGCTGCGCGCGGGCGCCGTCGCCTCACCCGCGCGTGTCCACCGTCCGGCCGCAGGAACGGCACGATCGAGCCGGGCGACCGGCTGCTGAGCATCGACGGCGCCGCCGTGGACCGGCTTACCATCCAGGAGGCGGCGGAGCGCCTGCACGCCGCTGGCGAGATCGTCACGCTGCGCATCCAGAAGGACAACCTCTGGACCGGTGAGCCGCCGCCGCCGCGGGGGGTGGCGCTGAGGTGTGGGAGGCAGTCTGGCCGGGTCGGTGGCGTTGGTGAAGCTGTGTTGGGGTGTGGGAAGGCGTTCGGTGTGGTGGGTGGTGGCGGCGATTGGGCGAGTCCATGCTCCTGTTATTTCCAGCGGCAGTAGGTAGCATGTCAAGCTTCTAGCTAGCTCTTACTCTTACGACCACTTGAGCTACCTACAAACTAAAGTGGTCGTAAGAGTTCAGCACGCTGTTTCATGGTAGTCCTTAAGTTGTGGACACTTCTGTTCCGTAATATGTATGATATCGGAACGAGTCCGTAGGACGTTTCGACATCACATCGACATATTTTGTGTGACCTAACTGTGTCTTGTTGCCGCACTCCATCAGTTGGTGCCGGGCCGTCCAGCGTCCCACCGCCTCGCCGGCCTCCCCACCCCGCTGTCGGACCGTGTGCCGTCTGACGCCGGCCTGCCCTCGTCGGCAGACGCGTCGGACTCGTCCCGCGTGGTGTTCACGGTGGAGCTGGAGCGGCACGGCGGCCCGCTGGGCCTCACCATCTCCGGCACCGAGGAGCCGTTCGACCCCATCTTCATCTCCGGACTGACGAACGGTAGGGCCGGCGGCGCCACGCTCCCCGCCACTCGGCCCGGCGTGGCGGCCAGGGCCGACTGGAGGCCGGGCGGGGCATGCTGGAGGCAGAGTTTAAGACAACCGAAACGGTGTAAAGCAGGGCTGTAACACAACGAGTAGATATAATTTAGGAATTAATACAGAACTGGGTAAAGAGTTAACAGGCTTCGAGAAAACTGGTCGTGTAAAATTGGTCAGCCCACTCGTGTTTATTTATTGAGTTTGAGTTGGCTGCCAGGTCGGGCCCGACGTGTCCCACCGACCGTCCCCGCTGGTTGCCAGCACCGCCCCGGCCTGTGGCCACCGTACCCCGGTGAGGGCACGGTTGACCTCAGCGCCACCCCCGGGGAGTCGCCGCCTGACGCGGCCGCTGCTCGGCAGGCGGCCTGGCCGAGCGGACTGGCGCGCTGCACGTGGGCGACCGCGTGCTGGCCATCAACGGCAACACGCTGCGTGGCAAGCCGCTCTCGGAGGCCATCCAGATGCTGCAAAACTCGGGCGACGTGGTGCGCCTGAAGGTGGCCAAGGCGGCCGCGACTCGGCGTGAGTGGCAGCCCGGCCGCCGGAGACGGCCGTGTCTGCGGGACGGCGGGCTCCAGCGGCGCCGGCCTGTGGCGAGCGGGGCGATGGGGCCAGGTCGAGGGATGCCAGACGCAGTCACGAACCCGCGTAGTGCGCAGACATAATCAGCGCCGTGCGCGAGACGTACCGTTTGCCATACACGGCTTGTTTTAGTGACGCGCCCGACGCGTGAATGATTTGCATCTTCAACGCTGATGATGTGAGGTGGATGAAGGTACGACTGTTGAAAATGCACGGCGCAATTTAGAAGAGTGCGTGGGCTCGTAATTTGGAATGATAAAGCTGTGCAGTTTTGTGCATGAACCAATTCATGCGTACTTGGTTTAAGGGCAAAGAGCCTCCAGCTCCTGGTTTTTCGGCATTATGAGATCATAATTCATATGTTGAGTTGATGGCCTTCACTGTACCAGGAGGCGCTGGTTAAATGGCATTGTGCAAAATGATTATATTGACGGTGCTCACCGCCAATAAAGTGCATAGTTTCACTAGTTCAGTAGATAGTTAGCACTATAAGGTCGTCAACTCAACAAAGAACTTTGAACTCATAACACCAAATTAGTATGCGCTTATTTGATATAACCGAGCCGCCGGTACAAGAATACGCCTGGATAGGCGGAATCTTGGCTGTTTGATTGGGTTTTGGTGTGTGATTAATGGCGTCTTGTACATCCGTTTTGCTCCCCGATTCTAACGCCAGCCGTTGCCAACAACCACGTCACCCTCCACATCGTTCTGTGCCGGCGCCACAGCCGAGCTGCCCCGCCGCCGAGCGCTGACGGGCGCCGCCGCGCCCGCAGGTCGCTCCCGCAGTCCGACGGGGCTGGTCGGCCTGCGCGAGACGGCGGCGCGGCCAGCCGGCTCGGCGCTGCCCTCCGTCGACAGCGCGGTCGAATCGTGGGACAGCGCGGCGGCGGCCGCTGCCGAGCTGCCGCGGCTGCGGCTGGCCGCCGCCGGGCCCGGCTCCGGCTCCGGCACCGACAGCATCGACGGCGCCAAGGCCGGCAGCGGTATGTGGGCCAGGCGGGAGGGGTGCGGGCGCGCGGGGACTTGTGTCACGCGGCGGGAAAGGACGGTCTGGGCAGGCGGGGAGGGGTGCGAGCGCGCGGGGACTGTCACGCGGCGGGAGAGGACGGTCTGGCCGGGCGGGGAGAGGTGCGGGCGCGCGGGGATTGTGTCACGCGGCGGGAGGTGATGGTCTGGGGGGGGGGGGGGGCGTCGTGGTTGATGTCAGGACGTTAAGGCCGGACGTGAAGCAGCAATGAGCTCGGGCGGTCGTGGTTGATGTCAGGACCTTAAGGCCGGTCGTGGAGCAGCAGTGAGCTTGGGCCACCGATTTCAGACGAGCTGTCGCTGCGTACGCAGTGTCACGTTCATTGGTGTGATTCGCGGACCTGTGCGTTGGCCGACATTGCGTCAGGCTATTCTGTATCCTGCTCATTGTTAATATGTGTGAGGCCCAGCCGTGTCTGTTTGAATATTGTCCAAAACTCAAAAGGCTACAATAACCGCCACTTGCATCGCAACACCTCATGCTATAGCAGCGGTTGGCCGGCGGAGGCGGCTGGTCCCGTGCCGAAGCCAGCCCACCTCTGTGGAGGCCACCTCACCTCTGACGTGGCGCGGCGCCCGTGGGGGCCGCAGGCTCGGCGTGCGACCGTGACTCGGGCGGCGCCGGCGGCGAGCGCTGGGAGACGGCCTCGCAGCGACTGGCCGGCCGGCCCCAGTCGGCGCAAGGGGACGACACCGAGGCCGACGACGACTGGAACAAGGTGCTCTCCGACATGGAGGAAGTCGAGTCGTTCCGGCGCGACTTCGAGGACCAGCGGCTCGACGACAGTGAGTCTGATCCCAGCGTGTCAGATCAGCTGCCTAGTGATGTGTGATGGGTGTGAGGCCGTGCCGTAATCTCGGGAGATTTGAAATAGGCGTTGTCTATATTACTCCTCCGTATAATGTGGCGTCTCGAAACTCTCGCCTTTGACACAAATTCATCATCTGAAAAGCAACTAAAGCTTCATCAGCTGTACGTGATAGCTATGATAAAAAGTCACTTTTGATATGCTATTGACCGCCTGTAACCGACGGCAAGCTGTTTTGGGCTGGCCGTCGGTCTTTCTCCTCTGTTGACCACCTCTATGCCCCGGCAGACTGCCCGTTCAGCCGGCCGTCGGTCTCTATCCTCTGTTGACCACCTCTATGCCCCGGCACACTCCACTGGGGCCGGCCGACGGTCTCCTCTGTTGATCACCTCTTTGCCCCGGCAGACTCCGCTGGGTCCGGCCCGTCGGTCTCTCTCCTCTATTGACCACCTCTATGCCCCGGCACGCTCTCCACTGGGTCCGGCCCGTCGGTCTCTCTCCTCTGTTGACCACCTCTATGCCCCGGCACGCTCTCCACTGGGTCCGGCCCGTCGGTCTCTCTCCTCTGTTGACCACCTCTATGCCCCGGCACGCTCTCCACTGGGTCCGGCCCGTCGGTCTCTCTCCTCTGTTGACCACCTCTACTCCCCCGCAGGCTGTCCGCTGGGTCGGCGGCCGGGTGGCCGGGCAGTGTCGGTGAAGCCGCCGCGCCAGCCGAACTGGACGACGGAGAAGGCCGGACCGCACCAGTCGGAGTCGGAGCTGGCCGAGCGCCGGCTGACCGCCTCGCTGCCGCGGCCGCGCGAGGAGGCGCGCGGCACTGCCAGCGCGCCGGAGTTCCGGCTGCCCGGCTCGTACACGGCGCTCAGCCGAGACTCGCGCCACCTGGTGCCCGTGCAGATCCACCGCGTGACCCTCTTCAAGGACGCCGTGTACGAGGACTTCGGCTTCAGCCTGTCGAACGCGCTGTACGAGAAGGGCGTGTATGTGAACCGGGTGAAGCCGGGCGGGCCGGCTGACAAGAGCGGCATCCTACGGCCGCACGACCGCATCCTGCAGGTCAGCCGGCGCCCGGGCCGACGCGGGCTGGGAGGGGCTAAACACCCGGTGGGAGTCTGAAGTGGGCAGCCGGCGTTGTCGGTCAGATTTGCAACGGCTCTTCCTTTTCATCGTGTCTGTGTTTTGTATGTTCTTTTCACTCGTGTTTTCATTGATGTTCCCTCCCGCTTTGTTAGCTGTGGTTGGAGTGCTTGAAGCTAGGAGTCGTACATTCAGGCATTTTGTCGCTGTTGATATTAAAGGTCAATTCTTTGAGCCCTGATCCTCGACGATGCTTGCCAACGTCTTCTTCATACTATCCGGCGCCAGTTGGTATTTTCAACCTAGACCTAGCTTTCGCGGCCAGTGAGGTGTGCGTTTGTGACCAACTCATTCGCAAGGCTGCTAGGCTGGCTGTACACAAAAGGCTGCGCTCGCAAATCAGAGGCCTCAAACAACATCAGCACGTTTTCCCTGATAGATGCCGCGTGCTAAAGACAGGAGCGGCCGTCTGCTTCAGACATACGTCTGTGGGATCAGGAGCTTACTGCGACACAGCCCCGCGCCGGAGGTTGGTCCGGGACGCGCACTGCACCCCAGAGCACCCGGTCTGGCATCCGCGCCCTATACATACCGCGCCACCAGCTCGGCACGCCTGTGATCACTGCTGGACGTACCACCCCAACCGTCCCGCACAAAGCAGCGTTCGCTGGACCCTGGCCTGGTCGGGCGTCCAGACAGCAGGTGCTGCGGCCGGTCGCAGTGGCGGCAGACGCGACGGCCAGCGCCCTCCGCCGATGTCGCCACGCTCGCCGTCGGCGGTGGGCCGTGTGGTGCCGGCCGGGCGCGGCCGGCGGTCGTGCCGCCGGCGCTGACTGACCGCGCCGCCGGCCGCAGGTGAACGACACGGTCACGTCCGAGCACGACTGCTGCCACATCGTGCCGCTGATCGCCTCTGTCGGCGACCGACTCGACCTGGTGGTGGCGCGTAACCCGCTGACCGATCAGCAGCCCCAGCTGGAGGTGGGACGCGCCGGCGCCGGCGCAGCGCGAGCTCGGTGTGGGGGCGTGCTAGGGCCGGCGCAGAGAAGCGCGCGCTAAGCGATCCGTTCCGTGTTTCGGTCAGAACGCTGAGATGGTCCACATGAATGAATGAAAACGACGGTAAATCGAGTGCGAGTCCCGCTCAGGTTGTGCCAGGGTCGTGTTTTGAATGCTCGTGGCGCTTGCCGGTTTATTAAGTTGAGTCGCTCGAGTTCGGCTACTGCGTTAGTTTTCGGTACTGATTACTTTAGTGTAATGAGGTGCTAACGGGTGAGGCACCAGTGTTCAGCAAACGCCGGTTCCATATGGCTTAAATGGTCCGATGATCTATGCTCCGTGTGGTCAGCAGCGGATCGGTACGCCACGACCTGCCCCGTCTTCCCAGGACGAGCCGGGTCGCCATCCGTGGGTGGAAGACGAGGACAAGCTGGCCGCCTCTCCGGAGCCGACCGGCGCCACCGACCTGGTCAACCACGTGCTATAGCGCTGCCTGTGCCCGGCGGCCCACACCCGCCTCGGAGGGCAGCATTGGAGACAGCCCAGCCAGTGTGCTGGGTTCGCGCTCCGAGCGCGGTCTCGAGGCCTCGCCTCTCCAGCTGCAGCGGTCCAGCGGGCCTGATCGCGGCCCTTGGTCGGCTCGGAGGGCAGCATCGGAGACAGCCTAGCCAGTGTGCTGGGTCCGCGCTCCGAGCGTGGTCTCGAGGCCTCGCCTCTCCAGCTGCAGCGGTCCAGCGGGCCTGATTGCAGCCGTACCTGGCTCGGAGGGCAGCATCGGAGACAGCCCAGCCAGTGTGTTGGGCTCGCGCTCCGAGCGCGGTCTCGAATCCTCGCTCATCCAGCTGCAGCGGTCCAGCTGGCCTGATCGCGCCGTGCCGAGCTGGCGCTGGTCTAGATGGGCCCCGGCCGCGGCGACGCGGCGCGGTCACTGTGGCCCCGCGCAGGCCGGAGCGTGCGGCCCTGCCTTCGGACATGGCACGCGTCCAGGCCGGCGTAACGATGGATCCTGTGCACGCGGGAACAGGCCAGCCGCGTTTTGCTCATTGACTGCTGGGTGCAGAATGGCAGGCACCGTGCGGCAGGGGAGTGACTGAGCCACACATCCCGTCCACTGCACTGTCCTGAGGTGCTGGCCACGCCGTCCTGTACTTGCGGCGAGCGATGGGGTCTGCCGGCTCGGCTATTTTCTGTACGAGTTCTGCTGTCGTTTTGCGAGCGGTTTGTCACGTTTTGAGGCGACTTGTGGGACCTGCCTTGTCACAGGACTCTGTCATGCGAGGACAATTGCTGTTTGCAAAGCTGTCGTTCAAGTATTCCTGGTATACTGCAAACATGCTACGTGAAATTAGAGCCGTCAGTTTTAACCAGTGTTGGATGTGACGTTTTGGTACGCCTAATCTGATGGGCATTTTCAGTTTGTGTACTGGTTTTAGGGTGATTGATGTTGAATCATATCCAGAAAGCAAGTTTGTTTTAAGCAAATTTTTGTTATTTGTATCATTTCATTCATATACGTATGTGAGCGCATGCTGAACTTGTTGTAAGCATGTGCCGAGCATTAAACGTCCTCAAGCGTCCTGGTCGTTCCCCAGCGCGTTGCCTTTCGCCTGAAGTAGTGAACGTTCACCCGACGTGAGGTGGCTGCTCAGTACTGTACGTTTCTTCTGCGGAACTTGGGAATACGGGTCAGGTGTCAGTGGAAGGGTACATCCAACATCACAGACGAGGTACGACCAGCACGCACACATTCATAGTCGCCGTCGTTCCCGCCAGATATTATACAGTGCCTATATGTGTGAGTGCACCCCATCAACTTCCGTTGTTAATGACTGATCAAGGCATAAAACACATACGTGTACCCTACGGCGGCTAAAATTTACCCGTCACCTCGTTGATATGCCCTTTACAGCTGGGTACCAGCAAGGCGAAAATGGACGTGCTGTCATTTGCTCATGATTCTGAGAGATGGGATGGAGCCGGTAGCGTTTGGGACCCACGCGAACAGGTGTTACCGGTCTCTTCGATGAGTGAAGTAGACTCACGGCATTCGCGTGCAAATTTGCGGATATTACTTAAAAGCTGGATTGCTTTCGGCCTGGCTAGGCCTAAAGCAATCTAGGCCATTTAATTTGGCCGAACGAACGAACTAATCTAATCTAATCTAAACTAATCAACGAACTTCGAATGATCTAGGTTTTTGGTGGCTGATGAAGCATGTGCAAAAAATTAACATATTTTTCGTGGGTTTTGGTTAACGTGAGCTTAGGTATTCCTCTGTGTAGCGATGATAGCACAATCTTACAATTTAGACCCTACCTCGTGATAATTCGAGAGCGGGTCTAGAAAGGCTACGAGACGGCCCCCTGGTCTACCACTGATGACGCTATGCGTCTGACATCAAGCTCGCTTAACGCGATGTGGACGGTATAGTCATCTAAACAATATAGATGTTTTCACGGTTTTAAGCTTCTCCGGTTGCTGGGATCTGTCTGACGCGAACGCCTCAAAGACGGTGGGTCCATCACGAGTGACATATTATTGTTTGGATTATCGTGCTCGTCTGGCGTGTTCGTTTGCCATCAACACGCCATACGGGGACGACAGTTCGAACTGCTATGTCATCCGTGATACCAATAACTCGTTTCGACTCTCCCGTAAAGCCTGTGGGTCCATGGTTTGCACTCGATCGGCCCGTAGTTGTGTCAACGCCATCACTCATGTTCTCATTAAACGCGTTGTTCCCGTATAGCAGCGACGCCACGTTATCAAGACTTGAGCCAAGCTTTGCGTTACGCTCCGCAGATTTCCGTTATCGGTAACTTTACGTTAGCCGTGCTAATGTAACGGGAAGGCTGTACTTTGTTCTCGTAATTCGGACGGTAAATTACTCCAGATCACACAGGTTGTAGGTAGATGTCTAACGTTACACAGCGTTACTTTTAAAATGATTGCGTTTCTCGCTGCCGGAGGCTGTACGAAGGTGCGATCTGCAGGTGCAAGAAAATGGAACCATCAAAAGCACAACTGGTCGGGCAAAGCCAGGTCGCCTAGCAACGAAAATTCCAGTTAGCTGTGAAGACATCTCGACCTGCGACCTCACCCGCAATGGCGTCACTATATCGACCGACAAAGCCTCCGTCAATGCATGTTGTATAATTACAACTACACAAGGGGAATTGTTGTCGCCATAACGCTTGTGGACATGATCATGCGGTGCTTTATTGGTTGCGCGCGTCGCAACTGCGCTTTTTGGATAACGCACCGATTATATACAGAACTCACCTCAACAACGCCGGACAATTTTAAGGGTACGGCTCTGGGACACAACGTGACGTTGACCCATGCAACCACAAACTATCTAACTGAAGTTTGGTGGTTGAATGCCATGATGACCGACTTATCCAACTCTGTGTTTAGACCATGGTAGCGAAACATGCCGAATCGTAGAGTTCCCTCCGTAAACTTCTTATTAGATCCGTAGAAGCACGTGGGCATGGTGTGGACGTTCGGCGCCAGTCGTCCGTAGTCGTTCTGAGTAGTTTTGTACAGCGGGTGCTGCTTTCGTTGTCCGTAGCCTCCCACGCAATCTGCAGAAGTTGGAAAATCATCACCAGCGGTACCGGGCGTCACCTGCAGACAGGCCAGGTCACCAGCCCTGGTCCATTGGACGAAACATGTTAGATACTACGTCACAACTCATGTTACACGATGTGGTTATACGCATGCCAACGCGACTCAGTTTTAGATAGCTTCTTTCTAAAATTTTAGAAAACGACACGAGACCGCATACCGCTATGTTTGGTGACATGAGTGTTTTGATAAGCCACGGTTGACATAGTACTTACTGTCATGTTGAAGACCCTGGGACTGGTGTTCGACCCGCTACACTGTCATAATGTCTATGGCATCGATGCATCTGCCTGCTAGATATCTTGGCCTTGAAGATACCCTGGACCACACCCGCCCCCTGCGCAAAGCGCAACGATACGCGCTAGGGGGGAAGACGTGCAGAAGACTACCTCGAAATCCCAACGCAGTGTGGCGAAATAGGGCCCACCGAATACCGTGGCTCTGTGACGCTCACCTGGCTTGTTGAAACGTTCGGGAAGATTTTCGCATGCCGTGTAGATATCCGAAACTTCGTCTTTCTTGGGAATCGAGCACATATTGCCAGTTTCAGCAGCCCAAGCGCCCAAGACGAATTCGTCTACCAGCTTGATGCCGAGATACCAGCAACGTTGCCAAGACAGGTCCTGTGAGCCTCGAGGGCCCAGTGCCAGAATACGCCTTGACCACTAACGCAAGCCTACTGGGGCGTCCGTTGATTTCGTTGGACGCATGACTTGATCTTCGCTCATGCCGTGCCGGATCAGCTGTTGTTTATGCCCGGTTGCCATGACAGCAGCGTTGGTCAGGATCGTTCGTCGGTGTAGCCGGGTGCCGCCACGGTTATTCAATCCATAATGTAACGACGGATCCCATGCTGGATGTGGAACTACGAGGTAATAAAGCCGCGGAGCCCCCGGGATGCGACCCAATCAGAGATGCCAGTACCACTTAGTGACGTTTGATCGATACTGGAGGACGCTCTATGCGCTTTTATTCCAAGTTCCACTGAGGTCTTTCCGTCACAGGCGCCAAAGCCGTTAAGGCGTGTCGTGGTAGAAGCCGGGTCCTCATACGTATCGCGGCACAGACAGCTATATTTCACAAATATCTGCATAAGACACTTTTCAGATTATCGTTCGTGACAGCACCCAACGGGAGGGCGTCCTGCCAAATACACCAAACGCAACGCACAAACGCACACGCACATTCCCACAGAATGACATCCGACCATTTGGGTACAAGTTAAGACAACAGCATCTAACAGCATCGACTACGCAGCCGACGTCAAGCACAAGTCGGCGTTCCACATATTCAGGAAGCTTGTCGATTAGGAGAATGAATCAATAACTTCACAAAATGAAAACTCGTTCATTTCCCACCCGCCAGCCAATCTGCACCCAGGCATCCAATTGCGTGCAGTGTTGGGATGTCAGGTTCTTGCCCGAATGCGTTCGAAGCGTCATATTCTACCAGCTGAGCCGAGACGCTTCTTGAATCCAGGCTTGCGTGTGTTTACTTGCTCCCTATGACCTGAAGAGTGGAGATCCGACCACTGCGGGCCACCTACACCCGCCCGTCACTGGCGCGGCAGCCGACCGGCACCACCGCCGTGCAGGCCGTACACGCCCATGTGAGAGAGGTAGTGGCAGCGGCGGATGGCCGCGTGGTTCAGCATGCCGAACGTGACGGCGAGCGCCGAGCAGCTCTTTCGGGGTCGCTCTTCGCGGGCGCTCCCACCCCAGTGCCAGAGCCGGTCCAGCAGGCGCGCGGGCGGAGGCCGATCGGGCGCCGCGCACGCCTCTGGCGGCCAGGCGTGGAAGCGCGGTCGCCGCTGCGGGTCGCGCGAGTCGCGGTGCGGGACGCCCAGCTGGCGCAGGCAGCGTGTCAGCTCCAGCTCGGCCGGCTCGCGCAGCCGGCCGCACTCGGCGGCGGCCAACAGGCGGCGCGCAGCGTCGCTCAGCACGTACCCGGCGCGACCGTGCAGATGCGTCACGTCGCCCGCACCAGCCACGTAGCTGCGCGTCGGCAGGCCCCAGGCGGCGGGCAGGTCGGTCGCGGCGCCGGCCAGCAGCCGCCGCAGGTTCGCCGTCACGACGTACATCGAGTCGGGCGCCACGAGGAAGAAGTCGTACCGTGCGGCGGAGAAGGGCGCAGCGGCGAGCGCAGCGCGGGTCTGTCCGTACTGACTGGCCGCCGCCGGCGCCGCCCGCGGCTCGGACAGCACCCGGGACGGCAGGCCGCGCGGCAGCCGCCGGTCGCTGACGTACATGAACCCGTCGCATCCGGACGCCCAGGTGGCGCTGATGGCACGCACGCTGTCCATGCGCCCGTAGCTTGTCATCACGATGCAGAAGATTCGGAGCGGCTTGGACGGCCGCTGACGCGCGTCGGACGCGGGCGTCGACCCGTTACCGCTTGGGGCGTAGTCTTGCTCCATCTCCACGGGCAATCTGCGAGGGAGGGGGCGGCGAGGACGGGTTATGATTGGAAAGTACTTAAAGGAGACAATCGCCATGGTGGTGCCTACCAGCACGCCCAAAATAAATACCAGAGCGTGGTTCCGAACGACCTTAACCTGTCGCCGACGCGCCACCCTGCTGTGGAGCCCAGCCGTCACAGAACTTCGACTTAGGAGCATAACAGTCTTCATCCTACGCTTGCGTCTTGAGCAGCTCTATTGTTAATCACTTTGAAACAAACGAGTTATTCACGCGTCGATCAATATATTTTCTGACTAGGTGCAGCACGACGCCCGGGTGAGTCTGTCAGACAGCAGCACGCTTGCTCCAGGTGGAGGCACGCAGCTGGTGCGCGGCTAGTAGCAGGGTGGCGCCCATTCTCAGGATGCGAGGGCGGGATCACGACACGTTTATCAAAGGCTTCGAGTGTAATGCAACAATACACATCGCGCTATTCACGCCCGATATCCAATACACATTGAATAATATACACAGCATCACGCCGTAAGCAATGGACGGAAACTCGGACGGAATTGGACGGAGTGGTGAAAAAGTCGCAGAAAATTCTAGCGCGCGCTTCGTCGAACTGGGATCTTCCCTTTCCGCGCACCACACTAGAGTTCTTCCTCGCTGTCCTAGATCTGCAGAGAAACTGAATCATGTGCTGCCAACAGCGATCACGCAATTACATGTTGACGTGGAAACATCGTTCAAACTGAAACGAACACGACCTACCACAAACCAAAAACTGCGATATCTGTGGGAATGACTAGCACGGCGCTACAACTAGATGATGATCACTAACGGAACGAGAACACTAGTGACCCGACTACTACGAACAGGGTGAAAGGATCTGACAACCAAAGTCGGCCTCCCTGACGAAAGGAGGGATCAACAGGTCTCGAGAGGGCCGCGCGCCAATTTATCCGGTGGCGCCACTGGGAGAGGTGGGCGTCTGGCCCCTCCTCGAGCCCTGGGTGAAGAACGCCAGCAGCTTGTTCAGGTCGTAGCTGTAGAGGATGTCTAGCAGCTGCGGCACCTTCGACTTGACGTTCACGCCCTGGAACTTGTGTTTGTCGATGTAAAGATCCGTGATCATTCCTGGAAGAGGGGGAAGCGTCAAACTCTGGTCAAGTAGAACACCAAAGAATGCATAACTGGCGTGCATTACCTCGGGTTCAGGTATGAGTGCCACGTCGAAAATGTGCACCCGTAGAGTATTTCTGTACCACTGCTTACACCAATCACGAACATTCGAACAATCGGTCTTGGCATTCTGACCAGACTACTCAGTCGTGTTTGCAACAAAAGCAACAAACTGCGCGCCAGACGACGCACGCGCACCCACCGCCGCTCCCGAGCGCCACAACCCACCCCCTCCATGACGTGCCGGAGGGCGGCTGCCCCACCCTGACCCCTGGCCGGCGGGCGGCGCGTCGCGGGGCCGGAGGGCGCCGGGGACGCCGACGTACCGTACAGCCGCTCCAGGTGCGCCGGCTGGCGGCTGCTCTCCTCCTGCAGCTGGGCGGCGTTCTCCAGGATGGAGCGGTACTCGGGCGTCAGGAAGCTGGCGCCGGCGTCGTGCTCGTGCGCCACCAGCTCCGACAGCGGCCCGATCAGCGCCACCTTCTTGGCCAGCAGCAGCTGGGCCTCCAGCTTCGGGTGAAGCAGCTGCAGCGTGTGCACCACGCTGCCTTCGTTCACGTCTGGGGGAGGCCAGTCCGGGGATGGTCAGCACCTCGTCCATGTTCTGGTCTGGGGAGAGACTTTTGTCCCCATTTCCAACTTGCTTACTGGGATATCTGAGTCTGGGATAGCTTACTTCGAAAAAAATCGCAGTTCCCAGTAGCACGCACATGTTCTTCATTGTTTGCGCGTAACGAGTCAACGTAAAAACCCACAAATTTACATATTTTCATTGGCATGGACCGCTGCCGACCCAATACATGGTATGACCCACCACCAGTACATGGCACAACAGGGAGACCGTCCCAGCAAGCAGTACGCGTCAGCTGCCCTCTGCGTGAAGGGGCGTCCGGCGCCCCACACCTTAAGGAACGCGGATGAAGCACCCAGCGGTAATAAGGTGTTTGACAGGGAGTTTCTGAAGCGATCAAAACAAACCCGTAACAACCTGTATTCATCTTATCACAATGAACAAAGGTCGAATTACGGGAATTATTGTAATCGAAAAGCCGACCTCACATATCCTAGGCATGCAAAAGAAAAACAACGAGCAAACCTTTCCCACCTCACCACATGGCAAGGGGCGTACTTTTGCTGAATAAGTCAACGAGGGACTGAGCAGGGAGACTACACCCCTTGCATGTGTATCAGAATTGCCATGAAAGCTGACCTTAATACCAAGTTGAACAACGGAGACTTCAACGACCAGAATCGGACTCGCGTGATTAAACATCACCAGCGGGCAAGCTTAACATTATCGCTTTATGTTGTCGTTTTTGTTTCTCAGGTATCAGCAAGAGACCAGTGGACCGTTTTCTGTGTTTTGTTTTCGTTATAAGGTGCATGCCAAAAACTTGGTCCCTTTTTCTGAAGCACTCGTTATCGCGTGTGCGCCCAGTGCAGTCCCCGCCTCTGTTGGCATGCCGCGGCGATAGGTTAGACTTACAGGGCCTGGGTGTCTGGTGCCATCTTACCCCACGAGTCTCATGCTCAATCAAGACCAGCCGTGTCTAACAAAACACCAACAGACAATGTCCTCGTTGAAACATGGCAGAATAAAGGTCAGAGCTGAGTGCCGTAAACAGAGGTTAATGCTTGCAAAACGCCCCATCTCCGAGATCGTCTCAACACCGAAAGGTCGGCCGGGTGGCGAAACATCTCTTTATCGCCTACGGGGAGAATTTCACTTCTGAAGATGAGGCAACCACCAGGCATGATGGAAAAGCCCACTTGCAAGCATTGTAACTATACAGCTTTATAAGTGCGAAAGACTGCTCTAAATTACAAAACTTGCACTTTTTAGTAAATTGATCCCCAATACGTCATCATTTGATGGCGTTTGACATAGAGGGTCAGAGTCGCTGCCAGAATGGTCAGCACTGCAGCGGGCAAAGAGGCTAATTTGTGGTACTTCATACACCGCGAGATGGCTTTAGTGGTCTTGGCATCCACGTTTATAGTATTAGCGGTACGTGTGTGTTTTAGTTTTTTATTGTGGTTTTCTTGCACCTTTTCCGCAATGCCACGTTTGTACATGGCATCGCGACAATGAACACACAAAGGTTACAGGCCGAGGAAATCATGTGACGTCTCCACGTCATACATGCATGAATTATTTCTAATTTGACGGCGCGAAAAAGTCTCCACAAGTTGGCGTGCGTCCCGCTAAAAAACAACGGGATTTAAGGGTTCAAAAGGTCATAACGGTGAATTGCAGGGATGATCTAGAAAAACTCCGTTCAAATGTGCCACCGAGCCTCCGTCCGCATAACCCTCCTGCGGAGACGAGATGGTTCAGTGCGCGAACCTGTTGCAGCATCTAGTGCTGCGCAGGTGCAACACGCGCGATGAAGAGCTCGGGTATCACCTCAGGAGCTCGCGAAGCCTCCAGACGTCTCACCGCAGTTAATGCTGAGGTGAATCTTCTTTTTGGTGGCCTCCTTCGTCAGCACGTCTTTGATGATGGAGATCGTGGATATGTTGTCAGATTTGAACTCCACCTCACCTTGTCTGGAATTAAACACACATGAATTACTGCTAGGGAATCGATATACCTGACATTTCAATTGGTTTTTTGATTGCTGACGCAAACACGACCAAATGATGTACTCACGGCTTATAAAGCTAAAAGTGGAGATTGCGCAGCCTTTTGGTCCTGTTATAAGCTGTTTACGTTGTGTCCGACTCTGGATAGTCGATGGCAGTCGGAGCGGGTTCCGAACGCGTACACCCCCCTGCAGCACCGCCGGAGCGCGAGCTGACCGACCAAGGGGCGCGAGACCCGCGCGGCGTCCCCAGCGCGCGAGAGGACCGGCGCCGGGCGCGGCACCACCGCGGCCGCGCCGGAGCGGGGCGGCACTGACGTGTACGAGACGTGCAGCATGGTGTCCAGGAAGGTAGAGACGAAGCAGAGCGTGGCCGTCTCCTCGGAGGGCGGCCGGTCGGGCACCTCGGGCAGGCAGAACGCCAGCCAGCCGTGCACCTCGGCGTAGCTGAACTTGCCCGTCAGCGTCAGCCGGTTGTACGGCCTGAGGGCGCGGCGCCACGTGAGGCGGCGGTCAGGACCGACGGCCGCAGCGTTGGCGTCAGAGGCGCGTGTCGCGCCGGGCTTGCAGCGGCAGTGGTTATACTCCGCTACACTGGGACACACTTGGTTGCTCCCAGTTTAGTGCGAACGTTGTTCATGTTATGAAGGAGTAACTAGTCCACAGGGCAGCAAAGTGGGTCACACGTGTGGAAATAGCAGACCAGTCAGCACAGTGGCGGAGTGTAGAGCGCGGCAGTGCAGACGGCACATAGATCACAGCATTTCAGTTTATGTGACACTAAATGGGCCATTATCAGCACACAGCGCAACTCCTCTCCATACCCGGCCCCAGGACCGCCCAGACCCCATCCAAAGCAGGCAGATTAGCAGCCGTTCCACCGCCCACCGCCAGCACACCACCCCACAACCACCGCCCGGCCTCGCTGGCGGCGGCTGTGGGATGGTGTGCTGGCGGTGGGCGGTGGAACGGCTGCTAATATGCCGTTGTGGGGCGGCCACCCCTTCCCCGACTGACCTGTTGGGGTCGAAGCGGTGGGCGCGCATGTGCAGGCTGAGGGGCTTGACCTCATACTGGCGCACCTGGCAGCACTTGGGCTGCAGGCGCGGCGTGACGTAGGCCTGCAGCGTGCCGTACTGGCCCTCGATGGTGCGGATCTTCACCTCCAGACGCGTGGTGTTCGCCTGGCATCGGTAAGTCGCCAGCAAGAAGTTGCCCGTCTGGAAGATGACGCACTGTTCCAGACACACGCTCGTCGTTTCAAAGATGGCCATAACGGGATTTGCAAAAAAGCGACTATTTATATGAAGAGGTGGCGTACAGTGAGACGCGTAGAGGCCGCGACAGAGAGCTGTCGGTCACGGGAATCATCAGGTGCGAGTGTGTGGCATGCTCTTTGCCACCATACGACTCTATGCCCCTGCCAATCCTAACTCAACTGTTTTTATCCATCTCAGCCACTGCTCAGCTTCGTGTACCTCATTCTTAAGCGTGCGTAAGAGCGGCTAAGAACACCACACGGAGACCAAGAGCATCGAGAGACGCCTGGGCGGGCGGGGCGGCGCCTGACCGACTGGTCGCAGGTGCTGTAGCTGACGACGGCCGAGTTCTTCTCGACGTCCAGCAGGTCGACCGGCACGTCGCTCTGCAGCATCACGTTGTCGATTGGCGTCTGCACCTCGACCATCAGCAGGTACGAGGCATCCTCCTTGCTCAGCGTCATCTGCCAGCGGGCGCCGGAGTCAGGCGCCGGGTGCGGAGCGGGCGGAGGGGGCCGCGGTTCGGAGACGGTCCGTGTTGGTGCCCAGACCGGCGGGGCTACCAGAGGGACAGACTGTGCCGTCGCGAAAGCGGCGCGCCCACGCTGGATCATGATGCTTGTGGCTTATGGCCGCGCCGACAGCCGTGCTGTTGTCTCTCCACGGGGACTGAGCAAACGCAGCGGACACGGCGGTACCGCCAGCAGAGCACCCCATCCGTTCACTGCACCGTCATCAAGCACGGGATTGGCCGGCGCGCATCCAGTGACGGCGGCGGCGGGGTGGGCGCCACTCACGCGGTCATTGACGGAGACGAACGGCACGGCCGAGATGCCGCCCAGGCTGCTCTGCGTGGTCTGGTGGTAGCGCTCGCGCTCCTTGTTCACGCGCTCCTGCAGGCTCTCCACGTCAGCCCTGGACGGCGGCGCGCAGGTCAGCGCAGGCGGCCACCGGTGACATGACATCAGGTCAGCACACGACTGATGACAGGCCGGCCTCACAGACGGACGCGGCGCAGTGGCTCAACAGGTGGTTACACACGTGCCCTTCCAGAGAGGGCATTCTGATATGTCCTGCACAAATTCCCGACTATGGCCAGAAATGTCCTCACTGGCCAATCCAACCCACACGTGTTGACCGTTAGTCAATACCAGCGCTTGTTCCTGTGGGCCGACGGACGTTTTCCGAAAGCGGTCGGGTCAGTCCCACACAAGCACCCGAGAGCCATACTAGCAGCAGCGTTGGCGTCCATAGATCGCCTGACATTTTCGCCGGGCACCGAATTGCAAATGAAGCCCACAATAGCCCGTTTCAGCACACCTGGAAATCATCTGTGCCGCTTTCGGCATAAATGAGCTGAGAATGGCTTGGAGCGCGCATGCCATGCATCTATGATATGGTCAGCGGCCACTCTACACCCCTTGACCCCTGACCCGAGCCGACCGCTCCGACCGCCGTCACTCTCCGCCGGACGCGGGCGGGCCGCGTGGGCCGGGCCGCGTACCTGAGCCGCCGCAGCCGCTCCAGCAGCAGCGGGCCGGCGGTGAGCGGGGCGCCGCCGCCAGGGCCGGCCGACGCCAGACCGAACAGCCAGCCTGCCGGCGGCACGCGCACGGCACACGGTGACGGCACGCGCCGGGCCGGCCAGCACGCGGCGACGGACGGCGGTACGGTGCGCGGCGGCGTGCGTGGGGCGTCACACTGGTGGGCACGTCGGACAGCGAGCGGCTGAAGTGCGCGGAACTACGACAGTGACGAGACAGCGGTGCGCTTTGGACATGCTAGTGACAGAGAAATAGAGAGAACAAGAGCACGGTGCGATAGCAGACTGCAGATAGTGAGCGCCAGGCAGTGAAGGCGTAGGCATTCTGGGGGGATTTAAATCCGTCGAGCTGCGCAATATAGCAATGGAGGAGAGGGGCACCAAGTTTTTATTAACATCTCGATGCACCATGTGCGAATCATGATCGCGTCAATGCCAGATCGGGCGACACCATATTCCCCAGCGCGTGACCAAAACGGCGGACGGACTCAACCGCACAACGTAAGTTTTCACAAATACTGAGCCGTACGGATCCGACGAATCCCATGGTCGGATGAGTGCCGATGAGCATGACGTGCAACCACGAGGGAGCCGGTGTGGGTGCACGTGTGGGTGCAGGTGTGGGTGCCGGTGTGGGTGCCGGTGTGGGTGCCGGTGTGAGTGCCGGTGTGGGTGCGGCGGGCGGTGGCGCCTAGCGACAGCCACCTGAGGTTGTAGATGCGCTGTTTGGCCTCGGCTGACAGCGAGATGACGCCCGGCTCCACCTCGTATGCGTGCCGGTCGCGCTTCTCCGAGGAGAGGCCAAAGAGCCAGCCTGCCGGCGGCCGCCGTGTCAGCCCCGGTGTCCCCTGACGCGGCTCCGCGCTGCGCCATGCCGCGCCGCGCCACGACGCGGCGCCGTACCGTGTCCTGACGCCGTCAGCGGCCCCGCCGGCACGTGCGGGTACCGGCGCCCGCCCAGCGCGACGGCGTCGCCCGCACGGTCTGCGTCGTGCGCGCTTCCGAGCGAGCATACAACGCGGAGGCGGCTCTAGTAGAGCTGGCGGGGAGTGAGGCATGCTGAGGACGGCACGAGGAACGCGTCCCGCGCAAGCGTGCGAGCCTATGCTTCGCCCTCCGGGAAGCGCGGCGGGGCGTATCATTTCGTAATCGAGATGACTCGGACTCTGATTGTGTTGCGCCAAGACAAACGGGTGGTGAATCGGAGCTGCGAGTTTGAGCCTGTGGCTGACCTGAGTACGACGTGACCAGCACCTCCTCGTAGTCGGCGTTGCTGACGTGGCCTCCCTGCACGGAGGTGACACTCTCTGTGCCCGCCTGGAGACAGGTCATAGCAACGTGTCATAATGGTCACCGCTGTCTCGCAGCACTTCTCCTTGCCGTTCCGGATCAGTGCGGGCTGGTGAGAACGCCTTCCAGCGGCTGCAAGGGCACGGAACGGGTCGGAACCAATACCTAGTCACTACAAAGGCAGATGTGCGCCATCAGTGCGTCGCAGTCAGCAGCATCGGCACGGACCAGCGTATTGCTGGCAGCAGCGGCAACCAGCGATGACTAATTCGATAGTCGCTTGGCATTTCCACCACTCCTGAGCTTACCGTGATGCTGCTGACCGGCAGCACCATTTTCCGTCATACGTGTCGCGCGCCTTTCGCCGCAAACAATACGTCTCGTGTGCTCCGTGCGCACACTAGACACGTGCCGCGATCTCACCCCACCCATCCCGTCCAAGTGCCGTCCAGTGGCCGGCCTCCCGTCACTACAGCAGCGCCCCGCCGCCGAGCCACGCCGGTGCACTGGAGCTTCCACTGCTGCCGCCGCCGCGCACCCGACCAGCCTCGCACGCGCGTCGGAACCCTGTGGCCTCGTGACGCGCTCCGCAGCTGCGACCGCCACCCCAGCTTGCCTAACTCCCGCGTGTCAGTCGCGGCGCGGCCCCTGTTACCACCCGTGACGCTGGCCAGTCTGGGCAGATCGGGCCTGTGGTCACTGTCTTAGACCCCAGCGGTGTCATCAAAACGAAAAATGGTCGCCGCGCGTCGTCGCGGTGCTGGGGAGCACCTACGACTACAGATCACGGAAGCGGCCGGGTTACCGGCGTCAGCCGGAAGTCGGGTCCTCGTCCTCCACCCGCGTGAGACTCGGCGCCGCTACCAACCGCACTGCGTCGTATGTCGCTCGTCGGTCGTCGGTCGTCGTTCGTCGCTCGCCGCTCGTCGCTCACGTATGTGTATCGGAGCGTGGGAGCCGCCTCCTCTCCGTCGTCGTAGCTGTAGATCTGGACGGAGCCGTCGTCCCTGCCCACGATCAGGTCGCGCACGCCGTCGCCGGTCATGTCGAAGTGGTCCATGCAGACGACGCCGGCGCGGCTGGCCTCGCGCACCGGCTCCAGACACCACTTGTTCGTCGGCTCGTTCCTGCCGGCCGGCGGGGATGACGTGATGGGGCGGGCGCGTACTGGCGGTCCGGGACAGACAGCAGCTCACGCAGCCTCGGGGTGTGTGGCTTGTCTTATCGAAACGTTTCCATCGGGACACGATTATTTTTCGATGAAGAGGTGTCAGAACGGGGCATTACGCGGACAAATCAAGCGACACAACATTTTCTGACAGCAAGTGGTTTGTTTACAATCATGTACACTCATAGCAGCTGATGGGAAGACAAACTCGCCAGCGCGATGGGCATCAACCTAGCCAGGAGCGGAATTCGGACGCAACCGTCTCAGCGCCACCGCGCCGACACACTCCCCGCGGCATGGCTAGCCCGGTGGGTCGCACCGCTAGCACCAGCGCCCAGCACCGACAGCTGGCACCTGCGGCAGGCACCAGCGACCGGCACCAACGGTCGACACCTCCTCCGCCGGCACCGGCAGCAGCGCGCGCCCCACCTGCCGATGCAGACGCAGCCGATGGCGGCGTCGGTGGTGCCGTACAGCAGGTACTCCGAGGTGGAGCCGCCGTCGCCGTAGAAGAGGTGCAGCGTGGAGGGCGGGCCGGCCACCTCCACCGGGTAGCGCACGCCGCTGCCCTTCATCACGCGCAGCGTGCGGTCCCGGCACGCCAGCACCGGCACGAACGAGTTGATCTGTTGCCGCCGGCGGGGTCGGGTCAGGGCGGCGACGGCGGAGGGAGCAGCCGAGGGAGAACGGAGGGCGAGAGGAATCTCAGACGAACAGAGGAGAACGCATGAACATCAAACACCGCGTTAAGTCGAGGCTCCGATGTGGGGGATCAGTCACTTCAAACATATACCAGCAGACTAGCAAGAGCCTCACCCTCTCTGCAGGCAGTGAGATGACATCCGTGATCTCTTCCCCACTCAGGTAGTAGTTCGTGTCTTCACAGTCGTAGAAGTGGTTGTAAATGAAGCTGCTACACACCAGCAAGTTGCTGCCACTGATATGGCTGAAATGAAGTGTGCTGTGTGAGGTAAAGGTAAATGGACAATGGAAATGCAAAACAATTCATTCCTTTCTATCAATATTTGATGCAAAAGGTGAAAGAAAACATTACTGTATATTTGCAAACTGTTTTTCATTTTTTGGAGGTTCTTCTAAATGTTACAAGCCAGGATGCAGGGTGAACAAATACCACTTGTGAGTTGGAGCCCTGTTCCCTGGTCACAGCTGAACTTTCCAGTCAGTTAGACCAGTCAATGCTCCCTGGAACTCATACCAGGTACTTTGGAATAACCAATCCAGTATCTTCCCCAGAGCCTGGAAGTGGTTTAGAAATGTGTGAAGCAATTAAGTGATTTTGGCAACATGCACATGAGTCAGCACACTTACATGGAATGGATGTCATCAGTAAGGTTTGTTTCCAATCCAAGGAACTGCTTTCCCTTTCTTGTGTAACCCATGACAGCATTGCCAGCAGAGACAAAAATCTTGTCCTTGACTGTGCCTGAAAACATGCAATGGAATGAGGACCAGCTGACAACCAGCATGTATGACAATCTGTACAATGCACAGTTGACCGCTTAGTTCCAGCTGCAACTGCATAGTTTGCTTTATTTAACCCTAAATTACTACACACATTTGGACACATGCAAATCAGATCAACATACAACCCAATTCCAGACAAAAGAAGGTACACTTAATAGTTTTTGTCATACAATTCCTACCTGCTAGGAAAGTTAAGTCAATAGATGAGGCATAATTCAACTTTGTAATCCCCATATTGTCATAAAAAATGTCTGAGACCTCACCTAAAGCTCCTCCCAACTGCACATTTGTAATAGGTTTGCCAGGCAGTGTCTTGAAAATCACCTGTAGGTCATTTTTCTTGAAAGAAAACAGCTGTACAACTCCATCCTTGTCTCCAACAGCTACCTGAAGAGTGAGAATAGGCAGAGGTCATGACTAAAAACAGGCATATCCATGTAGAGCTTCACTTGCAAGTTATGAAAAATTTCAGCCTGAGTGGTCATGCCTGTTCTAGCCATCATACTTTTAGGAAACTTATGTCTGTATTCACTGATTAGGGGGGGAAGAGGGGGGGGCATGCTGCCTTCAGCAACAAGAAGCACTTTTTCAATGATGAGTCATCTCTTTACAGACATTTCCTGAAAGTCTGTTTGCCCAAGCATTATCCATCTGTAACTTAATGTAAGCATAAAATGCTATCTATTTCCCCCCAACAACAAATTTTCAAGCTGAACAACACCTAATTACAAAAACATAGGACAAGTCCATTGGAAAACAAAGTAAAACCAAACTTGACAGCACATGGTCTGAGTGGCACCTGAGAAACTGAATGTTGTGGAGGGAAATATGTGCATGTGGTCACAAGATCTTGCATGCAAAGTGTGACTCTGCCTTTGTTGTTTTTTCAAGGAACAGTGTGCACCACAGTGCACAGTGCACAAACAGAACAGAGAAAGCCCTGAAGCCAGCTGCCTGGTGCAGGTCTATATGCCATCATAGACCTGAAACATTTTTTGAAACCAAACTAAAACAAACTGTGGCTGCTACCAAGAAAGCCTGATTACACCATGGAAAGTGCAGATGGACTGTCCAGTTTGTTGTTGCCTATAGTTACACAAAACACTTGAAATTTTCACAATCCTTTAATCACTAGCATACATTCTAAAGGTCACCATTTTAGCCATGAAGATTGCCAAGTGTTGCTCAGCCATGCAAATTCCTTTGTCATTTGTAAACATGCATTTTACTGTTAAAGATCAGTGGACCTCTGTCTGTCAAACTTGTGAAGCAAAGTCCAAATGGAGTGCTAAGGGCAGTTTGTATAAGTTTCCTTGAATGGCTGACTTAATTCACCATATAAGTTTTACTTTTATCATGATGACTGAGCAGATGAACCTTGTTTTGCATGCTCTATCTGTAATCTGCATGAGAAAGATATCCAGTCTAAGTAGCACGCCCAGCACAAATATTGCAGCTATATTGCACTCAAAAAAGGCAGGCATAACATTAGAAAGGACTTACTTTTTGAAGCTTGTTACCCTGGGTTGGTGGCAGAAGTTTAGTTGTCCTCGGCAGAGTAGTTGCAATCTGGGTGTAGTCAATCCGGTTCAAGTTTATATCCATCACACTTATATATTAACCACACATCTACTTTTGTCTGATCTGGTCTGTGGGTAGAACATATATTATGTGAGACACTGGCTGTGGTGGTACATACAGTACAGTTGATATACTTGGATATGCTCCAGCTTGGTGTAGATGGTCCAAACCTGCAATACTGCAGCAAAATGATCTAGTAAGAGACCCAACATAGCAGCATTACTAGTTAATAATTACCAAAAGATGCAAAACATACTCAGTTAGCCTTGGATGCTCGAAAACTTGGTGCTGCATATACAGCAACGACCACACTTTTGTGCGCAAAATATCCCTGCAACACACTCAAAGCACTGGAGTTTGGCGAAGACCATCACCAACAGAGTTGTATGTAAGTTTAAAAACACCATCCAACCAGAACCGGAAAAAAACAACTGCAACATGAGGCGATACTTACCCGGCTGCCGATAACCCTTACAAATCCAGCAGCAGAAGGCAAACGGACAGCACGGAAATATGACGACAATGAGGGGGACTAAATAGCTGGCAAATTTCTTGACAACCCAAAGCTCTAAGTCTTTGCAGCCGATCAGCAAAAAATATTGCCCATTGTATGCCAATTAACCAATGATCTCTTCTTTCGTCGAAAACGGCGACCTTAGGTCAGTTTAAAGTTAACCAAAAAGGCTAAAAACAGAAAACTTAGTTTGTAAACAACCCGATGCACCGATCCTATGTGACAGACCACCATGAAACGCTCACTAGTCGATGTGTTACAGTTGATATCCTATCCTTTGCGGAACATGGTGACCTTCAGTCAGGTCACGTCATTAAAAGTGCCCAAAAGCACCAACATTGGCTACAGACAAACCCATGGTTTGAGCCTGTGGGACCAGTCGGCACAAACATTGACTAATCGATATGTCATTGTGGATAGCTTATCCATTCTAGAAAATGGTGACCTTGGGTAAGCGATAAGTTCCTCCCAATGATGACTGACCTATGAACAGCTCTATTAAACTGAGGCACTAATCATGCTTGAGACGCAGCCATGCCAGAAACTGGCACTGCATCAGCCGATAGCAGTTCCGTGCTGCGACCAACGGCGCGACTTCACACGCATCAGGTATCAATAATTGTCATCCGTATTACCCTGCGTCGAACATAACACTGCACGCATAGTTATTATAGGTTTCACAGTCACCCGGTAGATCGCGCGGCCGTTGCCTACGGGTGCGCGCATCTCGACACGCAAGGTAGGTCAAAGAATGTCAGGTCACCTGACGTCCTTTTCGATCAGCTGTTCTGTTAGCCGTGCTGTCTCAACAAGCAGCTGCGGCTTATGATGGCATTAAAACCAAGTGTTCGCAGTGTCTGCTCGAAATTCTTGAGATGGAACCGCACGGAGAGAGGTAGGACGTAAGTCAAAGACAAAAGTCTCTAAGGTTGCTGCAACACTCGTCCAGAACTAAGCGCTAACAGAGACTCCCTGGTGTTTTACGCACCAGCCAACCAATCAAAGAATGCCATTCGGCCGTCATTTACCGTGGAGCATTCCACTTCAGCCAGCCGACGTGCGCCGACGACAAGCGTTGAGCGCGCAAATAAAATAGGTATACAGGTGTAACCTAGATCGCATCCGGTATGCAGGGACTGGAATCGCGTTTGAACTAGATGTGTCCTATGGGGCTTACAAATTGTTCTGCAAGACCAGCTACATTAATGCATTCTAGTTAACGTTGTCAATTCTGTTCAGTATTTTAAATAGTTCGAGGGGTCACTTGAGACCACCGCCTTACGCTTCCTATTCACTTTGAAGACATTCTGCACCGCTGCTCACGCCGACTTGGTGTCATTAACTGAATATCAGGTCATACCTAGGGTGGTGATTGGCGCATATTTCTAACCCTTTACATTACACCCCTTCGATCGATCTTGGACTACGTGCGTTTCTGTTTAATTATATACCTGCCTCCCAAGAGGCTGTCCAGAACAACGCCCTTCGGGTCGTTACTGGTGCCCTTCGGACACCACCAGTTGCCAACCAGCCGACTGACACGAACGTGCCCGGCAATCCCTCAGACGTAACCTACAGCTCCCTCGCTGCTACACCTGTGCGTCATCGTGCCCTTACCACCCCTTCCGTGTGATACTAAACAACCTACCAGCTTGTAGAAGAGTTCCCCACAAGTGCACGAATTCAACGAAAGACCTCCTCCACACCCGCTCCCTTACTCTTTTTCCCGACGTCACAGCTCCATTCCGTCTGGAACGATTGGATCGTTTCCATAAAATCCCTGTTTCCCATCATACAACATAGCACGAAACACGAATGCCAAAACGTTAACATTCTTGCGTTGGTCGGGGGGGGGGGGGAGTTCCGAACGGAAATCCCTCCACTCCATTTCAGCCTGGGATCCGTTACGCCGATTGGAGTATCTGAGCCAATTTTTTTACCGTCTTCGGCGAGAAGGGATCTGTTTTTTTGCGCCAGTGAAGACCCTGCGTTGATCCGAGGCCAACTGGCCAGGTCAGAGAGTCTCCCACGTCAGAGAAGGGACACAAGTATGATGTACCCCTCTAAGGGCTTCCGGATTAATCAGGGGCCCCGCCACCGTGTCACCAGAATGAAAGCTGGCAGCCACCCCGCACTGGGATGGAATCGGACCCTGGCCATTCAGGCTCCGGCTGGGAACGATTATGTACCCTTGTGTGCCACCTATGGGACAGCGACTTACCCGGAAAAGGCGAGGAATCTCCTCAGTTTTCAAAATGACGGACCGAAACGAGGTCCAAATGAATTAGGCCTATCCACGTTTGCCCAAGGACTTCCTTCCTTTTTCTGAATCGGCCAGTGAAACATTTCACGTTAAAAAAACGTTTTGAGGTTGCGCGCCTAGGAAGAAGAACGCCGATGGCCGGGGTAGCAGTTTACGTGAAACCAAACGGTCACTGTAGATTACACCAGGCGACGAGTGCTGGACGCATCAGAACGACCCTCGTGAAAAACGTTTCCGAAAGTCTTGGAATAAACTCGCAAAATTTGTGGATTAAAATGGAATGCACATTTAACTTTTTAACTACTAGGATGTCATCTGAACGGATTAACACGTTCCAACATCAGACTTCAAACCCGTTCACGCTGCTGTAAATGCCAATCTGTTCATGTTATTAACGTCCGTACATACTGACCCGGACTTTCTAAACGCACAGGTTTATTTTCTACAGCGTTACAAGGCACCTCCTTCATACACGCCATCATTCTCGTTCACCCGGGGGCTGTAGCCTGGTGTCAGTCTTGTGGCCAATACCGCACGACCTGTTGAGACTGCAATGCCCGGCGTCGGATTTTTGTTTCGAAGACTTGCAGGCTTGCATGTTCATAATTTGGTTACATCATGTCTTATAACTCGATCCTGAAGGAAGGCTGAACATCCTCAGACGAGCATGTCTCGCCATGCTAATACAAATTTTTCACACACTTTCGATACGCAAGTTAAGTTCACAGATTCCTCAATATATCTGTAGAACCCAAACGAATTCTGCCGAAGCCCCTAAATGCTACCGATTTAGAAAGAGTTCACTGCGCTTTTGTAAAATGTACAGCATCGACAGTTGATTCCATGCCATACAACCATTTTGGTACTGTTCCTTGAGTTCACTGACTTCAAAATGCAAACAGAATTACATCTTCCCGTGGTTTTTGGTTTCTACTCCTGTTAAGGGAGGTAAATTCGGCGTAAAACAATTGAAGACGCGTCCCCTCTAAATCAAGTGGGACCATACCCGGGGATTTTTGTTTTGTTTCGGGTCGGATTTTTCATCATTGGAGGGACCTTTATTAACCCTGTGACCCATCCCTTATCAATACTCTGGCCGTGTTACTGAATATGGCCTACCCGATTCCACACGCATAACACAAACAAGGTTGGCTGGTCAGGCTTGTTGAGCCGAAAGGGAATTTTGTTTCCCTTCATTACTGCGATGAGGCGGATCTGATTTCAGTTTCTGTTGTCTCCGCGCGTGTTTGTTGTTCAACACGTCTGTTTTGTAGTACGCGTATGTGTGCTTGTAGGGAATATGTATCTGTGTCGTAATCGCCTCTTTCGTCGCTGTGCAGATTTTCTGACACTTTGTGTTTGCAACGGACATAATGAGCCAGTTAATGATCTTTGCCGCACCTAATTGATCAGGAGTAACTTTCCCCTCCGGCAGCATAGCTCTAGGTTGACCTGGGTAGCAGAAAGAAGGAAGACGGTGACCAAATCGAGGCCATCTTGCATCGTTCTGCGCGAGGCCCCAAACACCAAACACCCCAGTAAAAACTATAGGCCTAAACCAGATCTGGGGAGCCCAAGAAATGCCCATTACGATGGGCTCATGATAACACCGGGGTGTTCACATTACAGAGGAAGGATAGGTCATTAGGACGGTCGCGGAGGGAGAGTCGTAATGCGTGCGTGCAAATTCACCCCGTGTACCTGGATGTTGGTGGATTTGGTTGTAATCCATTGGGCGCCTGGGCAAGTCGTTGTCATAAAGAAGAAAGTGAGGAACGCAAGCGAGCTATGAATGTGGTGCAAACGAACCCTATTCAAGATATGTATCCAAGCCCTGATGACACGCATCAGTTATTTTCGTGACCTGCGCGAGCCTTTACGTAAAACTGGGGTAAAAAATAACGCGCTTTACGATTTGGAAACGTAACAGTTTATTTGTCACGCACACAGCTCCGAATGTAAATTTGCTGAAAAATGCACCCTGCCGGTCGTTCTGAAATGCATGACTAGCACGAGTCTTTACAAAAAACTGAAGCCTGGAATGATAAATCCTTTGGTCAGACACGTAACTGTTAAGTGCAACGCACACAGTTCTTGACGCAATTTCGGGGTGTGATTTGACATTTTAACACACATGTCACTGACACGTTTGTTTGCGACGCACGTAGTTCTGTATTTAATTTGGGACAGCTAGCATGCATTGCAATCCATTCTATGTCGCCAGATTAGCATTACGCGTCGTACTGCTTACAAGAAGCCTGCTTGAGAGCCTAGTGAGTCCCGTGAGCAGGACAGTGAAATTGTGCAGTTCGTTTGCTCTCGAATTCGCCCAGTAGTCAAGGTCATGTTGGCCATGTTAGCCGAGTGCTCTCATTGTCGGGTCAATAGCCCCACCAATGCCATCGTGTGTGCATCGTTGCACCCTTCGCGCGTGAGTAAAAGCATTTCAAATTGGACATCGTGTGTTTGCAGCTCGCCTCTGCAGCCGACACTCTAACATTAAGTTATATGCTGTCGGAGGGCCGACAGAATAAACTAGGCTCCTTAATCGGAGAAGTGTGCCGCAGTGACAGCTGAGAGCACTTCACAGGCGCTATCCGCCGTGCTCTTCGCAGGCGACTGTAAGTGTCTTTCCCGGGCCGCCTTGTTCTGACCGTCACAATATGAACAGGTCGGCCGGTGTGAGAATGCGCCGGCAGGAGGTGACCTAAACAAAAAAAGAAAGATGTCGGCCATAAGTGATTTACAACGTCTGCCAATAGCGCTAACAAGATGACAACTGCACATAACTGCACCACTGCGCTACACACGGTTGCGCCCTCTACGCATGAGTAAGTGTTTTAAATTGGGTAATATACCTTTGAAAATCGTTCCTGCGGCTCGCCGGCAGCATTACGCGATATGCTGTTGGCGGTCGATCGAATAATATATATTCCTTAATTGGAGAAGGTTGTTGTGCTGGCAGGTGGTGCCCTATGCAAGCACCATCGAATGCACCTAGTCGCACTCTTCGCACATGATTAGAAGCTTTTCTCCAGGGATGCCCTCTTCTGGCCATTACGCTACGGGCATGCCGGACGAACCATCAGCACACAGTCAAGGTACATATCTTAGTTACGTAGTTACAAGCTGCATATCTTATGCTGTCTGCATGCAGCAAAGCCATCGGTTTCACAATGATTAGAAAGCGTGGAATAATGAAGGACAAGAAACGGTTCCCGAGAGCTGCATGTTATATAGAATTCAGCAGACCGAAGTCAAAACTGGCTTAGCTTTGAAAACCTGGCGGGAAAAAACAGACTCCAACGCGTTTATCACAAACCAGCTCGTCACAAGCATTCTAGCTTGCATCAACAGGCTGTTCTAGCCTGACATTTCGTCAGTTCTTCAACATTGGGGTTCGCAAAACCAAAGCCCAGAGAGAGTCTGCAACAACTGTGTATTCATGGCACAACACTATCACGATCACCAAACCTGGCGAGCGTGGAGCGCGTCCGGGCACCACGTCGAGCCAGCAACAATAATAGCGTCAAACGTCCTCCATCGGCTGGTGCAACGTCAACGGGAGCCAGGTCACCGCGTGCAGGAGTCACGTATCCGCCACCCAACAACAAGAAAATAGCATAGGTCATCCATCACACCAGACGAGGCGGACATGCGCGAGGCACTAAGATCTTTGCAGAGAAATTTCAAGCCAGCGCACTTCTATGCGGTTGTTCCACGCGTCGCCATAGCGGCACAAGGCAGCGGCGGGCTCCGTGGGGGCTCTGGCACTGTCGGCCGGGTCTCGCAGAGACTTTCGGCCACTAATGGGACGCTTAGGTCATCCTGCTGAAAAGTCTCAAGATAAACGGGCTTGTCTCCAGCCGCAAACACGTCCCGCGCACCGTGCACAGCGTCGCTTCACCAAGCGAATAAACCAAAGGGGCGGGGCTGCAGATATGCGAGTTTTCTTCACCCACACATTCCCACGATCCCCAACAACGACCGAAAACGCCGCGGGGCTTCCTCTCCGCAGTTCCACGTAAGTTCGACCCGTCTCGTGTCCAAATGCTACCAGCCGTGCGCCTGGGCGTCACGTGACCATGCAGCACGGTGGCACCCCGGGCGCCCCGACGGCGCGCTCCTCTGGGCGTGCTCTCCGGTCTCGGACGCGAGCTCAAGACAAGGCATTCACTCTGCTGTGCCGTGCCCCGGGCGTGGGCGACCTCTCAAGCCTGGATGCGACCGTGGCTGAGGGGGTCGGGCTGGGCGGAAAACGCCGAGCAGTTTCGCACACGGATTCCTTTGGCCAGTGACTCCATCACCTGCAGCAGCTGGTGCCGGATGGGGTAGGTCTCAGGCAGCTTGTGGCCGACCACCACCGTATTCACATAGTATCTGCAACAGTCAGTCAATGTCTTATACAACCCTCCATGACAGGGGTCTTTCTTCCGCGACACACTTGTCAATAAACGGAACAGGAATCATATGATTCAGACTAACATTTCGAACGGCTCCTGAACAAGCCATCATGCTTCGTTTTTGACAAAAACATTCTAGGCTGCAAGCTTTCCAAGTTTTCGGGTGAATGTCACTGTGAATGTCCGGATGAATCGTTGAGACGCTGTTGCATCAACTTCTTAGCTAACTTCTCAGCTTCTTGTTCGGTGCAATGTTGCACGAAGAGCAGATGTATAAGTCTCAGTCACCCAGACCCAGTGAACTATCGCGGTGTGTGTGTGTGTGTGTGTGTGTGTGTGTGTGTGTGTGTGTGTGTGTGTGTGTGTGTGTGTGTGTGTGTGTGTGTGTGTGTGTGTGTGTGTGTGTGTGTGTGTGTGTGTGTGTGTGTGTGTGTGTGTGTGCGTGCGTGTGTGTGTGTGTGTGTGTGTGTGTGTGTGTGTGCGCGCGTGTGTGTGTGTGTGTGTGTGTGTGTCCGTCACCTGAATTCCTCGGTGAAGTTGCGCTGTATGAAGCTCAGCGTGCCGGGGAGCTGCCGGACAAGAGTCTGCAGCACGATCAGGTGCTGGTACACCAGCACAGCCTCACTCGGGGACCACGTGCTGGCCCTGGCCGGGTACAGGAAGGCCAGCAGCTGCGTCACAGCCACCGTCAGATGCTGCTCCTGAGGTCACAAGGTCACAAGAGGTCACCCACCGCCCGGCGGTCAGACAAGGTCAGCAGTTCTCATGCGGAAGCTACTTCTTTGGATGAGGTCTCCAGCATTCCCACAGGACCGGTCCCGTAAACAGGGTCACGGCTGGTCAAATAGGTGCCAGGCGTGGTCACGAGCGGGGCGGAACAGGTGCCTGACGGTGAACAGGTGCCGCCAGGTGACAGGATCACAGTCGATCACTCGTGACCTTTTCTTGTAGGCGGGGCCATAGCGCTGATTCGGGCGCTTACTTCGCTCACGCGATCGCGAAGCCACAGACCACAAGCTGACCGCACGAGATCGGGGCGCATGCGCTCATGTTCGCGACGTCACAAGCTGACCGCGCCAGATCGGGGCGCATGCGCTCATGTTCGCGACGTCACAAGCTGACCGCACGAGATCGGGGCGCATGCGCGCATGTTCGCGACGTCACAAGCTGACCGCACAAGATCGGGGCGCATGCGCTCATGTTCGCGACGTCACAAGCTGACCGCGCCAGATCGGGGCGCATGCGCTCATGTTCGCGACGTCACAAGCTGACCGCACGAGATCGGGGCGCATGCGCGCATGTTCGCGACGTCACAAGCTGACCGCACGAGATCGGGGCGCATGCGCTCATGTTCGCGACGTCACAAGCTGACCGCGCCAGATCGGGGCGCATGCGCTCATGTTCGCGACGTCACAAGCTGACCGCGCGAGATCGGGGCGCATGCGCTCATGTTCGCGATGTCGCAAGCTGACCGTGCGAGATCGGGGCGCATGCGCTCATGTTCGCGACGTCGCAAGCTGACCGCGCGAGATCGGGGCGGATGTGCTCATGTTCGCGACGTCGCAAGGAAGATCAGCATGGCTTTATCACATGGCTCGGCCCAGAGCCGTTTGTAAAGACACCATAATGTAATGACGCTCTTTATGGGATGACCTTTGATGACACCTGTGGTCGAACGGCTTCTCACACAGAGATGCCCCGCACCTTTATGTGACGCAGAGGTCCTGTAGTTCTGGTGTCAATTTCATGGCAGTTATGCGTCATCCCAGCTTCACCCGGCTCAGCAGCCAGCCGGGGGCACAAGAGCGGTGCCATTTCCGCCTGGTGCCAGAGATACAGCCTATCGATACTCACTTACATCGATGACAAACCGATAGGTTAGTTGGTTAGAGCGCTTGTCTTGCCACTCACTCACCCGTGCTGGAGCGGGGTTAAGCCCTCTCAGGCGCTCGCTTTTTGTCCCTGATTGAAAAAGCGCGCGGGCAGTGACAGCGGTCGCGGTAAAGGTCTGGTGACGTCAGAGAGCGAGACGGGTCGTGCCGAGCACTGCGGCACGTTAAGCTTTCGCCGCAAAGTTCTGTCGCTGACTCAGAATTTTACGGTTGGATGGCGTGCCAGTACTCACTCAACAAACACTGCTTAGCGTGGGCGCTCATCTCAGAAATCCATCCAATCAGAGGACACCTACTAAACTTGAGACGGAACGTGTGCCGTGCACGAGATCCTGTCTGACGTATGTATACGTGTCTGACGTACGTGTCCGACGTACGTGTCTGAAGCACGTGTCTGACGCACGTGTCTGTCTGACTGGTGAATAGTGTCTCTCGGTTTGACTGAGCCGATGTCTTTAACGGCTGTCTTGTCGCTTGCGCTGGATCATGTATTTTCTATTAGCATGGTCAGGTACGTTTCAGGTTTGATAAAACAATCTCGTATCGCCGCAAGCAGCAGTATTTCCAACTCTATCTATCTTCTGCATCATTCCTCTGAACAGAAAGTTTTGTTCTTATGTGATTTATTTGGGTTTCCTTCCCAAAGGCTTGACCTATTTCGTCCCACAAAATGTGCAGCAAACGTTACGTAATTGCGATCTAAGGTCTGACCGTAACAGTGCCGCGCATTTACGCGTTGAGCTCCTCCCGACCCTTCTTTGTTCTCAAAAGCCCATAGCTGTGCGCCGACGCGCTCAATGCCTCCAGCCAAGAACTCTGTGCCACCCGAATTGCGTTTCTGCATGCACCGTCGCCCAAAGCGCGTGCAGTGGACGCGATCAATACCAGTCATGGGGCGGCCCTTCAAGGCCCTGTTGATCGATGAGCTCCCGCCAGCCCCATAATGGACACGGCAATCAGACGATGGGGAAAATTAATTGCAAACAGCTGGCTCCCTAAAGCGGCCTTCATTATAAACCTACGTAAGCGCCGCTCGAACCGCACTTACCACGTTCCAGGGTCTCTACGCAGGCACCCTGGATTTCAGTCATAACACCTCAGACCCGAACCGTGGATCTGGATATATACACGATTGATCTGGATAGATACACGCGTGTGTGATCACCGACCGCACACCGCCCTTAAAGCGCGAAAACGACAAAATTTACGGTCTTGGATGGCTCAAGCCGAGGGAGTCTGCTTCCACCGCCAGCCGGAGGTAGTCCGCCTCTACGGTCTGCAAGCCGCCACCGACGTGGCAGACCGTGGTCCCCCACTCACCAGGTTGATCTTGTGCAGGCCCTGGCGGAGCGCGGCGCCGCTCGGGTCCACGTGATGCAGCACCTGCAGCAGCTCGTACAGCGTGCCCGAGCAGGTGTTGGTCACCTCGGCCAGCAGCTTGATCAGCTGCGGGAGGCGGGCGGGCGTCAGGCTCAAGCGGCTGGCGCTCTGACACGCGTTGTGGCAGGAGACGGCCGCAGGGGAGCACGTGTTCGGACACTTGAGCCGCCAGTGACAACCATCTGGTAGAATGCCGTTGGTTTGTGATGGCGAGTTGGTTTCGACGCTTTTCAAATTGGATTTCAGGTAGAGAAAGGTTGGGCTTCAAATAAGGGCATTAGTTTCAAGCGGACAATCTTCTACCTAAGGACGGCGCGACAGCCAACACACATAGCCCCACAGTGCTGGCATTCAGAGTCGGAGTAACGATAAAATACTGTTCACAAGGAATGGCATGATGCCACTGAGCAGTCTACATCTACAACTTACACAATGCTGTTCATCGTGAAAGATAACTCGACTTTCAGCAACCAGTCAGACATCGCGGGGATATAGAAGCAGACGTAAATCACTCAACTTTATTCCCATCAGCCGGCACTATCGTAAATCATATGTCATTCGTGCTCAGCGTTCTTGAGATATTGCATATAAAATATTCAGAGCTCGAGCCAAGGACACCACCTAAGCCCCGCCAGACAATCTGGATACTTACCTGGTGGGCGACGCGTACGCCAATCCTATTTATCATAACAAATCTTTGCGCGATAGAAATGTGTACGTGCCCAGAAAATACTGGCCACATGCACTCACCAAGCGACCCTGCAATATCAACCTCAACCCGAGCTCTGCACGCCTCCAGGTCCGCACACATTCTATCTCAGTGAGGGGAGGTGCTTGTCAGCGGGCGGCAACAAGACCTCCGTGTCAACGGTGCCTATGCGCGTGGACCGATGGCTCTTGCGTGCATCGAACACGCATCGTGATACATGCGTAAGTTTGCTGTAAGCAGGGCTAGTCTTCCATATGATAGGCTAACCCACCTTCATCCACCCTATATACAGGTTTGCTGCATAGTAGGATACAGCAAACCCCTGGGAAGTGACGTCATTGGAACGTTTGGTACTGACGTGTTGGCAGTAGCTAGATGGGTGCTTTTTCTAAGAATGGCACGTGCGCTGCACAAGACTTGCTTTCTTGATACATCAACTCGTTCCATTGTACGTTTCCGCGACGTCGCACAAGACAATGTCCAGGACGGAACGGTTTTCCCTGTAAATACAGCTTTGGAGTTGGGTCTACTGTATTGATGGAAGGGAATCCGGCTGGGTGGGTAAAAGCCAAATAGCATCGACCCCCGTCTATGCATAATGGATTTTTTATGTTATAGAAGGACAATGTAGGCACTCCTCAGACCTAGCGCCGACACTCGTCGAGCAGTCGGTCTGTTTGGTGCCTGAACGATAGTTGGCGTGCACTGGAGAACACGCGCTCCTTCTCATTTGTTCATATCCCACTCATGCCGTTATTTTGGCCGGCGGCGCGTCATACTGAATACGAGCTTTTCGGCCGTTTTTAATAAAATCGACGAATGCTAGACGAAGCCGGTTATTTTTGTAGTCACTTGAGGCGTGTGCGGAAAAGACACCGCCGCTCTTCTGACGAATATACAGCACGTGGGGCTCGCACCATATTGGCGTTGTTTCCATTGATGTTGGCAGTCTGTTCCGAAAGTATATGCGGCTTTCTGAGAGCTGTCATCCTCGGGATCCTGTTTGGCCATAGATGCATAACACTGCCGACATGCTTGGTGCACTTCTAACCTTGAATGCTAAGCAGCATTGACTAACCCTGACCACTGTTCCGCTTCTGACAGGCTTCCTCTTGCCTCCACGAGGAGGAAGGTCCTCACGAGTAGTAGGTCTCCTACCTGCCTCCACTTCCAAGTCTTCGTATCGTAATTGCTTGATTCCACCCCGCCGTCCATGCAGTCTCGCTGACGGACGTCCACCACAGTCGGGCCGCTCTTACCTCCGCCTCGGGCAGGTTGTCCCAGCCGGCGCCCACGAACTCCCTGAAGTCGGCCAGCATGTGTTTGGCGGTGCTGAGGTAGCGGCCCGGCACCCAGGGCTGACTCATGAGCGCGCGCAGCAGCCGCGTGAGCCGGGCGCCCTTCTCGTGCTGCAGCATCTGGGGAGGGGAGAGGGGGCGACTGTCAGCGACTGGCCCGGCCCGGTCCGGTCCGTCGAAAGACCGCGGTGTAATCCGACGATCGCTCGATGACCCAGAAACAGCGGCGCACCGGCGCCTGTGCCGCGAGGCCGCGGGCCCGGCGCAGGTGCGCGTGTCGCGTGCTAGCTGTGGGGGGGGGGGGGGGAAGGAAAGGGGTGACCGTCCTGCAAAACCGTGTGATGGTGTGCCTAGCACGCCTGCACGAATTCGAGACCGTGCCGGGCGGGATCGGGTTAGCTGCTCTATCCACCCTGTCATCTTTATGTTGTCCTTGCCCTGTATTCTCGTGACGCCCGATTACCTGGGGCAAGCTCACGCACCAGCCATGAGTGGGCTTCAGTGGCCCCTGTCGGGGCCCTGGTCGAACGCTCAGCACATATCCCGCATAGGGGTCCCCTTGTCGCCTTATGCTCTGCGGATCGACCGCCAGGTGCGTGCGATTCTGCCCCACCGCTAACCATTGTTCTTCACCCCATAACCCTGAAATAGTGACGCCTGGCTGAAAGGGATCTAATCCAAACAGCCTACAACCCAGCCGCTTCATAAGCGCCTGTGAATGGTTGATACGTGCATCGCTAGAAACAATCCTGCACTCTTATTTTCCTGAATTTTGCAATCCCACGTCTACCGCACTTGCACGAGGAGAATGCAGTGTGGCGCACATCAAAGGCACCATAATTACAATGGCAAACGGTGCATGCGATGCTATTGATTGGTAAATATTCTATCATAATTGCCTTCGCAAATACGTTCGCTGATGTCGCTGGACCAGCACTCGTAACTAACAAAACCGCTGTTAGTTCCATGCCCTTTTATCGCACCCACTCAACGGCGTTCACGTTAGTCACAGGCGTCAGCAATATACGAGTTTGGCATAGCGATTTAAGTACGAGCGAAAGGATGGCTGCAAATGGCTTAAGTTTAGTAAGTCATTAGGAGCGGGTTCTCAGTGGTCAGGAAGGCGTCATCAGGTTCCAGTGTTACCCAAATACTGACTGCTACGCTGAAACAGAATGAAACGTGTGGTTCGTGGGTGTTCATGCAGATCATTTCGTTCGGAACTTCATCGACAATTAGTGTTGATCAGAAGCTAAGGCTTTCGTCGTCTGACACGTGAATAGGTGCAACAGAATTAAAACATACAATATTTTTGTCAAACCATATGCAAATCAGTTATATATGCGAATGGGCGCTTAGAAGATTCAAACATCTATACTTGTTTTGTTTTTGTTTTTAAACCGCGGGAATTTTTTGGTCAAAGGCGCGGCTGGAAAACACACGACCATACTTCAATTATACTGGCCAATATTTGGAGGGAAATGCTGCGTCACATCCAGACAGTTCGTGACAGATAAGCTCTCCAAAAACGTTTCAGCCTGGGGTTACAGTGTACAGATATTATCCGATGTTTCGGAGGGATCCATAGATTGCAGCCTCGCCACTGCCTGGCGGTGGTCCGCGGTTCAACCAGGGATCTATATCCAAACCTCCCATGCCCCGGTGTCCAACCCAGCACGGGCCCGCCCGGCCGGCTCCGTGCCGCCGATACTATCCAGCCGCTTACAAGTGCCGCAGCGTAGAGCTCCGCGCCGTCCGATCCCACCGCACCGCAGCCAGGCGTCACATTTCACCTGCGTGGCGGGCGAGCCAACGGCTCCCGAGGCGCCGCTGCCCGCCAGCCGCGCCAGACGGAGCGGCCCTCAACTCTCGTGAGCGGCCGTCGCGTGCGGGCTGGCGGCGTCGTGCCGCTAACAGCCGGGCCGGCCCGACCGACCGCTCACCTTGACGGCTTGCGGGATCGTCTCAGCGTCGCGGAGGAGCGCGCCGAATGTCTCCATCAGCAGGACGACCAGGTCGAGCTCGTCCTCGCGGTCTCGCAGTCCCTGCTCCTCGTCGTCGTCCTCGGCTGGGTCGAACGAACTCGTGGACACGAGATAGGCGGCGAGCTCCGAGGTAAGCAGGTCAAACAGGCGGCCGTCCTGGAGTAGGGGCCAGGAGGTCATATAGACAGGGGGCAGGGCTCGGGGTCAGCAGGTCAAACAGGCGGCCGCCCTCGAGCAGGGGACAGGAGGTCAGATAGACAGGGGGCCGAGAGACAGGGCTCGGAGTCAGCAGGTTGTGGTAGTGGCCGTCTCTTTTGAAAAACTACACTGAAAGCCCATAGTGACTATCCATTTACAACACATTTAAATAATTATTGCGAGGCTTCGACACCTTCGTTGGGTAAGGATCTCACCTTCACCATCAGCACCACGTCAAGTGGCGATGGATTACTCTGAAATGCAGGGGCTCTCGGAATTACCAGTCACCAGCCAGCACCTGACGCATGGTCTTGTGATTCCGTGATGGTTTTGACTACGCGCCGACGTCTCCAAGCAGCGTGTTTCATTTGTCGCACGCGTACGGCCGCCGTTATCGCTGGGGTGCGACACTGCAGGCTCGGTGCGTGACGGTGCAGTAGCTTCGGGAAGTTTTTTTGGCATGGTAATTTCAGGCCCACTTATTTTGATTATCTAACATAGGTAAAGTAATCAAGTTGTTGTCTGATATTGCATTATGGTAAATAGCGCAGAGAAATGGGCAAATATTACCCCAATGTTGACGTCTGAGCCCAAACGTTTGCCGACCTCTGGAGACAGGTGGTGATAGTAATATTCAAAGGGAGGGCTTTGGGACTGGTGGCTTTCAATTCAGTATTACTGAGCTCGCCGTTAATTTAACCGGAAGTCAAAGAGCTGGAGGATGTACACATGCATAATTTCGCGGCCACATCACGCACGCCCTGAGCAAGACAGCGCGGGGGCCGGCGAGGGAGGAGTCGGAGCAAGCCTTTAGTCAAACAGCACCGAAACGACGGCCCCCGGCTTGTGTCGTTGCACGGCTGCGTGTTGGGTCTAGCCCTGGACGCAGGCGATGGATTGGGCTAGCCATTTTCGGCATCGTCGCATGACCATAAATCTCATCAGAATGGCTGACAGGCCATGCCGAATGAGGAGTAAATAGTGTGACTGCTACGCTTTACTTTCAACAAACTGGAAACGAAACAGATAAGAAACGGTGCTCCTTGAAAGATAAAACCTTTGCGGCTGTACTTGTCCACGACGGCAGCCAGAAGTAAGATATCATCGGATATTAACTTGCGCATGTTTTTTGTAGCGCCTATTATTCACAATGCTGGATCACAAATCTTCCCGCGTGTATGCGATATAAGAATGCGTGATGGCCTCAGGCGCGTCTGAAAACCGCGCTGTCTTATGAAAGAAATTTTCACGAGCTCATGCCTTACTTTGTAAATTTCTCTAGGCGGCGTATGGAATTTCATCGCAGGGTAGATAACGAGAGGTAGCGTCTTAAATCTTTCTAAGAAACATGTGGAATCGTAACACAATGTACATGACTTGACACGGCTATGCCAGCCATCGCTTTCGTCACAGTGAGTAAAATTTTCGAGGGATGGCAGGGGGATCGATCAGATTTGCAAAACCGCTGACCAGTGACGTCAGCCGATACTCCTCAAAATGAACGAGGAACGAGAGCATCGATCGACGCAACGTCCGCCATTTTTAATCTTCGACTCGCTGCATTTTTCAGTCCACCTGGCGCGTGATGCCGTCTAATTAAGATCTATCGTGCGCGTCTCCGCAGCGGTGTGACGATCGATGGATGGTGTGCATCGTCTTCCATCGACACACAACGTGACTCGAATTGCTATGGAGATGGGCACGGAAGAAACGTCGCATTGCGCCAATAACTGCGCCCAAATGTACGCTCAATAACCACACGGATCAGCCTAGTGCTGGTAATCAGCTCCTGCTGCTTTGGCAGAAGGGCCAGCGTTAGACTTCTCTTTTCTATACGTCCTGCAATGGAGCCCGCCGATTCGTTAGAACATTGGAAGATTGTCGGGTTTCTTAAGCATGGCGTGCCACTTTTATCCCCACCGCAGCGCTATGATGTGATTTGCTCCAATCAATGACAGTTTACCTAATGCACTAGCTCCATTGCTTTAAATCTGTGTTCAGATGAACAGACGATGACATGGTAGCATTCTTGAGCTGCTGTTAAAACTACATACACCAGGGAGCGCGCTTATTGTCACGATAGTCGATGCAGATGTGTACAATGTGCAGAATAAAAGGTGCCAACTATGCTATAACCAGAGTTGTAGTTTCCTTTTTACTTGTGAAATTCCAGGCCCCAACTAGGAGAAAAAATGGGTCAGCTGCGGGCATTCATCGTTTTCATCTCGCGTTTCGAGAACAAGAGTATTCATTTCTCATCAATCATTTCACAGCCCGCCCACCCATATATTTTGCAAAACCATGCACCCCAGACTATGATCAATGTCACCGGCGCGACTCTTCGAAAGGGGCTAATATAAGCGATGCAAGGTCAAATTCATGGGTGTCATGTGTGTGCATAGCTACGTGCGAGGCCACAGGAAAGCGAGCCTTTACGTCAATCAGTGAGTCTCGGCGAGTTTAAAAGCAAATTATAAAACTTGAACAGTCTGACCTGGCCTGGACAGTAACAGTTTTGACGGACTTGTACCTTTGCATCCACGCGTCGCACTAACATGCAAGTTGAGCAACAAATGGCACAAATCTTTAAAATCCATCCTGCTTTACTTTCAATACCTTTCAGTATCAGACCTTTGATCAGGCGTCACGTTTCTACAAAGCTGTGATATCATCACAATTTCAGCTCCCTATTTTACAAACACAGTAAACACAAAATTTCTCACGAAGATGCCTGAAAACCGGAATCTGGAAGACGGCCCAGACTTCGGCAAACAGGTACAGAGTACAAATTGACTCAAGACTAACTAATTCTGTAGGAGGAGAAAACGGACGATGCTACTGACAAAGCAGGCCAATGGATGGATACTTTCACGCACAATCTAGCGTATTCCCAGGACCCGACCGTTTTCGGACGTTCTTAAGGATTTTTGTCGCCTATCGGGAATAAGAGCAGGGGAGAGACGTGAGCCGGCTACATGACATAGGTGGAGCACTGCCCACAAATCAGTTCGAGCTCTTAGCACTGTGATGCCCGTTGCACATTGCTATGACGCACTGTCGACTGATGAACGGGTGCGCCGCTCATAGATTGGGAAGTGTTAGGCAGCAGTGCTGCCTTTTCCGAAGCCGCCCTCAGATACGACACGCTACAGCCCAAAGCCCAGACAGGCCGGGCCATGCAAACTACATAGGCGCCTTGTTTAGATTATTGCTACTAATATCCAACCAGAATATTGGGTCCTGCAATTTTTTCGCCAAATCCACAGAAGAGGAAGATATTACGAAGTCATTCCCTCGTTGACAGAAGATAGCCAGGCTTAAACAGGCCGAAAACCAGTCAATATTCCAAGCACAGTTGTCCAGTAGATACACGATGGGCATCAGTGCACCTGCTTCTGCCAAACTCATGCAAATAGGATATTCCAATGCATAGTTATCTACATGATAACAATGGCGTGTTTTGTCAACTCGCTTGTCAAGGCAACGGTAGTGCAGTGGTTTCACTGGGCGTTTGGGAAACAGGTGCGGGATTCCATTCCCGCCTATGCTAGCGTCCCCTACCACGGGGAGAGGGGCAGGTGACGCCAGACAGCCCTCTTGACCCCGTGTGACGCAAAGCCCCAATGGCATCTCGTTCGCACCACGTCACTAAGCGCCTCTTGCTGGCTATGTTAGTCTTCATGTACATGTAGAACGGCGGGGGTTAGCTCAGAGCTTCACTCTCCTTTGAGCCCATTAGCTAAAAGTTAGTTGACTTCTTAGCTCCTTTCTACTCCATGCGATGGTTAGCTCAAAGCCTGCCGCGGTCCTCAGTGAGTCCTCAGTGATTTTTCACCTTTCTCTACAGTCAGCACTAGCCGCATTGCACACAATCAGCCGGCAGCCCCGGCGCGTCGGCCTCGACGGCGTCCCACGACGACGCTCGGAAGGTGGCCCGTTCGGACGACTTCACTGACGATCTGTGTGTCCCGGATTTCTGTGGTTTCGATCTTTGCAATCTTTGTGTCCTAGGAGCATGGGAAAGAGCAGCAGGAAGGGGTTATAGTTCCAAGGCTGTTCGGTGGAAATGAGAGCGATACTTGTTTGTTCCTTTAAAAAGACGTGAGCACAGCTAGCCCATATGTGTTACAAAGGGGTCTGGAGAGCGCAATTTTGTAGCACGCGTAGTTAAGGGTTCTCGAAATCCGTTTCCAAAGATGCACGTCATCCGCGTTGCGGGCTGCTGCACAAAATGTGGTGGCATTCAAGAGCGTTCGCGCAACCGTCACCTCGTCTATCCGATTACCCGAGGCTAGAATTGCGGATTCCCTACAGATGAACACCGAGAGATGCGCTGCAGTCTCACCACTGCATCCCCCTTCCTTGACAAGTCTTCTGCGACAGTGGCAACACGCCCTGCCCCTGGATCGATGCGCTCAAAGATCAGATTTGAACCGCAAACAACGATTCAGGAAAACGCGAGCGTTTCTCTGATTGGCAAATGCTCCATGCATATATTCTAACGGAATTATAACTTGTGAACGCTTGAACACTACAATACAGTTCGACGGTGGGTTGGAAATTTGGTTTAATTTCTCCGTCAAAAGGCTAGTTGACCCAATGAGCCTAACTCCATGATCGTCGTAACAACCAAACCTGCACCCTACAGCTACCATTACCAATACGCGGAAGCAGCGTGAATCCTTTCCAGATGGCGTGTATTCACATTCATACAGGTAATCAACGTTTCTCCTTGACAATCCGAGCGATTCCCAACGCACTGTCACCCGGTGGACACCAGACTTAATCACTCACAACCCGACAGAGCACATAGACATTCCCCGAACCACTACTGAAGCCGGACTACAAGCGTGAGATGATGCTGGATGGATGCGCGGGCTAGCAGGTGTTTTTTTCAATTGTAGAATGATTTGCGAAGCTGGAGCCAGTTGAACTTCATGTCATCACGCGAGTGTCCCTCCTGACGGTCCAAGTCCGGCGTAGTTTTGGGAGCAATCACACTTCAGTTCGACCAATGCCTGAGTTCTATTTCGCAATAGTCAAGCTCACCGACTTAAACTCATCCCTTTGTGAACAGCTCATGCGATTCCTTATTTAAACGCTACCTCTGATTGGTTCGGCATGCCTGATTGGTTTGGGATTGCTCAAACGACAGATGCACAAGCCATAGTCAGTAATTAAGCATTGACGTCATCTATTGAGCCCATCCGATGGCTGGCTGAATCGATGGTTCACTTCACAGTTGGTGCATCATCACAGCAGATGGTGCACCATCTGCTGGGGTGCGCGATCGAGATATTGAGCCATCGTGACCAAGGTGCCTATCCAGATCCTTTGCGTGTGATATCATCACGACCACGCACACATTGCACAGCACCGCTCGCCAGCCCCGCTCGTCTCCGGCCCGCTCACCTTCCAGAAGAGACGGCGCACGCGCTTGTACTCGGCGGCGCCGATCTTGAGCTCTCGCACCAGGTTGAACTTCTGCTCGAGATCGGATGAGGTCAGCAGGTCGGCGCGCAGGTCCTCGAACAGCTGGTCCAGCTGCTGCGGGTCGATCCGGGTCGGACTCTCGGGGTCCGACTGCTCGATCGCCTGCGTCCGGCTCTGGAACAGCGCGACGTCGCGGTCAAGAGGTGGACTCGCCTGAGGTGGACTCGCCTGAGGTAGACTCGCCTGAGGTGGACTCGCCTGAGGTGGACTCGTCTGAGGTGGACTCGCCTGAGGTGGACTCGCATGAGGCGGACTCGCTTGAGGTGGACTCGCTTGAGGTGGTCTCGCTCGCTCACGCGCGGGCAGGAGCGCACGTGTGCGCTGGGCCCTGGAGCTCTGCTTTGTTGGCCCCCGACCCGCCTGTTTGGCCAGGTGCCGCTACGTTTCCTTGGAATACGTATGTTTGTGTGTACGTATGTGAATGATCTTCCGATGTTCTGCTTTTTTGGATTTTCCAACGCCTTGGACTGCGCGTCGAACATCACTGCCTGGTCAACGTCATCTGCCAGATCAAAAAGGCCCAAGATACCGTCCTAGTGCGCGGTGCGTGGCCGTCCCAGTTCTAGGCCGTGTCGGGTGTGAAGTATTGTGGCTGGCATCCGTAGGGTGGTGCCCTGATGGCAAGGAGCGTCGTTTTGCCGCGGTCGCACTGCCGATCGGTGAGCACCGGCACCGGAGTTTGAGGCCTGACGCCGCGTGCGTGATGCGGCGGGTCAGGTCTGCTGGAACGGAGCACGATGTTGGCCACGATTTAGGTCGCGGTCGTGCTTGGACGGGTGGACCAAGCTAGAAGCGAAGTGGTATGACACAAACCCCGGAGAAGTATAAATTGGGACTTCGGCGAAACGTCGTCTCCGCTCGACTTTGACCCGCAGTCATTCATCGCAAACGGAGCAGATTTCTTACACGAGTGTCCAAACTCTGCATATTTCGTTCGCGACCAATATTTCTGATGCCGTGCTCTCCACCGTGGCCGGTCGCAGCACGCCGACGCCCGGCAATGAGGGCACCCGTGGGCCCACCGTCACATGACCTGTAATCGGCATTGACCCGCGTGTCGGGCGGGAGCGCGCGCCGCCCTCCGGTAGACCGCGGCGGCCAATACGGCACCGTCTTGACCGGCACGAAGTCCGCACCCACCGCTGAAACTTTAAACTGGAACGACGGGGCCGAGACGGCACGCGGGGCGGCCTATTGATTGTGAACCACGCGCCCACCGGCACCGCACGGCCCGGTGACCTTGAAACTGTTGTCCGGTTGCTATGGTGACCGGATGCGTCGCGAGGTGAAACGCCGGTCCATGCGCGGGGAGCGCCTGGTTGGAAAAGGACCGGCCGCGGCCGGCTATCTTTGGGTGCGGCGCTTTGTTCCGCGTATTGATCGTTCAATGCGCAATTGTCGGATATCTGGGGGCGGGAAAGATGGCGCTGTGAGGTCAGAGCAAAGTGAGGCATCCCAAAACGCAGCATAGTCAGATGGGGAAACCCCATCGGCTCAGACAGAAGAGCGCGACTGAGATCGTGTCACCTGCCGCAAACCGAAACGGAATCAGTGGATGATTCCTTATGTTACCTGTTTGAGTAACTCAATTGATTAGATTCGACATCGAAGCTATTCGAAGAGGCGAAATTCAATGTCCAACAACCCCCGTCCCGTTCAGCAATCCTGCTGCACGATGCGTCTGTTTCTAATACAGAGACGACGCGTATTCATGGGAGCTTAAGGGATGTGGCGTGCGGAAATGGCTCCACATCCATTTGTTCCTAAACGAGCAGAACACTGCCCGATTCCCAAAACACGATTTTCAACTCAAACAAGTCCAAAACGAACCACGAAAATGTCGGCGTACATGATGGCCACATCGCACGTTTGTATGAATGTACTATCGCCTACAACAAGTGCATTGCATCAGCCATCCAGTACATGTCACATGCCCTTACCAGCGGGAGGCAGCGGCTGACGTGTCTGTACATGGTCTGTGACAACATTAGAGCGCCCGAAGCGCCTCTCCGGGTGTGCCGCGCCGTCCACCCCTCACACTGGCCCTCACAGCTCTGAGCTGTCCGCCCTTCACACCAGCCGTCACAGGTCCGAGCTGTCTATCCATCACAGCTTCGAGCTGTCCATCCTTCACAACGGCCGTCACAGGTTCTAGCTGCCACCCCCCACGGGTTCGAGCTGTCCATCCTTCACAACGGCCGTCACAGGTCCTAGCTGCCACCCCTCACAGGTTCGAGCTGTCCACCCCTCACAACGGCCGTCACAGGTCCGAGCTGTCCACCCCTCACAGGTCCACGCTGTCCAACCCTCACACTGGCCATCACAGATCCGAGCTGTCCATCCCTCACACCGGCCCTCACTGGTCCGAGCTGTCCATCCCTCACACCGACCCTCACTGGTCCGAGCTGTCCATCCCTCACACCGGCCCTCACTGGTCCGAGCTGTCCATCCTTCACACCGGCCCTCACAGATCCGAGGTGTCCAACCTTCACACTGGCCATCACAGATCCGAGCTGTCCATCCCTCACACCGGCCCTCACAGATCCGAGCTGTCCATCCCTCACACCGACCCTCACTGGTCCGAGCTGCCCACCCCTCACACCGGCCCTCACAGATCCGAGGTGTCCACCCCTCACACTGGCCATCACAGATCCGAGCTGCCCATCCCTCACACCGACCCGCACAGGTCAGGAGGCCGTGACCGGGCCCGTTGCTGGGTGGGAAGGCATGTGACCCGGGGCCGTTGACCTCTCCGGGCCGGGCGTTTACGACCCAACATATAACATTTGTGGTCCCGCCCAGCTATCAGGCAGATCGTGCAGTGAGATCGTTCGTGAATATTGTGAATTGCCGCGGCTGAAATTTGATTAGAGCCACTCGATACCCAGATATCGCCTGCACGGAATAAGTCGCGTGTGTAATTTATTTTCCGATCCTCCCGGGAGCGCGGCGCGGCAGGTATGTCATTGAATGATTCATTGCTCCCAGATGGCGGCACTGGGAAAAGCGATCTCGTTAACGGAGGCGACAGTGCGCCGTCAGTTTCGGTTGGCCTTGGCAGTCGCATAACCCACACGGGCAGACATCTAAAACGTGCCTGCAGTACGGGCTGGCATTCCCACCCCTGGGCGTCACACTAAGTGGAATGGGTGGAATCGAATGAGGGCATTGAACTAGTTCGCCTGCGCTGACTCAGCTCATTGGCTCAGGATGACCTCTGAGCATCAGCATCATGATAATAAGCTGGATAGAGGAACGCACCAACTTGGAGTGCTTGCTTTCGGCGTGTCATCAATTGGGGCGCAACAAGTGCGTGTCTTCAGGGAAATGAACGCATGCACATGACTGGGTATGCAAGCATTTATCGGAATACATTTATTTAGTTGCTAATTTGTATGGATGTGCATGTGTTTTAGCAAGCGTCTATGTCTGGGTATAAGTATGCATTAATGTGGTGCATGATTTTAGGGATTTATTCATGTGTCGGTGTCTAAATAAAACTTCAGTCAATATGGCTTATGCTAATATAGTCCCACAGTGCTTTGGACCCTGAATGCGTTGTGGACACCTCCGCTCCCCATTTTGAAAATTGCATTTGGATGTTTCTTGGTACAGTTTGTGATCATGTGGCCAATAGACCACAACTGCAAACGACTGCGTTGATGATCCGTTGTAGACATACCACTTCGGAGGAACCTTGCTTTGGCTCAGTTTGAGTTGGATTAGAGCCCTTTAGACCAGTGATGACCACTTCAAATCTATGGGATCAAGGAGGGCGGATAACAGTGGAGCAAAATGCATGCATCTGGCAGCCCCTCCGCCGAGACTGAGCCCGCACAGGCACCCCTTTACGGGATATGTGCCGGGCACTCGGACGGGACCCCAAGGACGGGGCACTGAAGCCCACTCAAGACTGGGGCATGCAGCTCGCCCCGCTCAAACGCGATGTCGCAAGGATGCAGGATAGGCAGGAATGGAGAACGAAGAATGGATGGCAGAGAAAAGCAAATGCTACAAGAGTAAATGCCCCGTTAGGCACCCTTTCATGTGAGAAACGCGGCGAACGGGCGGCAGTCCCCGAACTTCGATGCCACGGTCTCCACCGGATCTGCGGCCTTTTAGTGATGCGACAAGGGACTCGGTCTCAGCCGCCTCCCCACCGCGGAGTATCCGCACAGGTGGCCAGTGGATCCGGTCTCCGCGCCATCCGCTTCATCGCCCACTGCGACCGTCGGGTCCCACACCCCACCAATATGCGATCATGTCTGAGCAGCGTCAGCTAGCTCGGCCTCCGTTCCGACTCCGCTCCGGCTCCGGCTCTGGCTCCGGTTCCGGCTCCGGCCACGGAAGAGGAGGTGGGTGGGTGGGGGGGGGGGGGGGGGGGGGGCGGGGGGATGGGAAGCAGACGGGCGGCAGCGGCGGCGGGCGTGACATACAGCAGTCACGATCGCCGCTGATGAGGTGGCCGACCGGGCGCGAGATGGCGCTCCGAGGGGACCATCCGTCTGCCGCCGCCGCCGTCCGCCGCCGTGCGCCAGAGGGCCGGCACCTGTTACGGTTCCCTGCGCGCAGTGACGGCCGGGCTGCCGCCGCGGGCCGTGGTCGGGTCGGGGCGGGGCGGCCAGTGGCCGCCGCTACCTTCGGTGCAGAAACGGTTCATCGATATCGCGGCCACGCGAGGGCGATGGAGCAGTCTGGCGTCAGCCCCAACTCGCGTTGGAGCAGTCTGGGGTCAGCTCCACCTTGCGATGGAGCAGTCAGGGGTCAGCTCTAACTCGCGATGGAGCAGTCTGACGTCAGCTCCACCTCGCGTGCAGCTGGTTGGTGGGCAACTTGACCTATTGGCCGGCGCTTAACAAAGGACTGTGGACGCCGTCAGAATACATCAGTGTTTTAAACGTCGCCTTCCACATTTTCACTCCCTGCGGGCCCTTATTGGTAAGTGTGTAGTACGCACCATCGGTCGACTATACGACCGCGGTGACAACAGAAGCCGCATCATTAGAAAATGCACACGCACAAATCGAGTGCTGTGCTCAACTAATGCCGACATTCACAAGGCTCACCAGAACGAATAGCAGACAGTGGACGATATGCAGTGGCGAAAGTACGCCTGAAGGCGGGATGGCGTCTGCCGTAGGGACTGCGTGCAACGGCGACAGGTCGGAAGGCGTAACGTGTCCAGCTGCAGCTGTCCATACCGTGCACCGCGTGGCAACACAGCGCCAGGCCACCAAACGACCGCACTGCGTCATTGCTGCAGTGTCGTCGGTGTCGTTAATGGCCCGAGCTCCCCGGTGACGCGCTTCATATCGAGGCGGGGGCCCCTGTTGAGCGTTACGTATCTCCCTTCCCCGGTGTCTTTCGCGGCCGGACATCGGTCTCCGCTCCCCGAGGGCGCCGCGGTGAGCGGCTCTCCGTGAGCAGCGTGCGGCGTTGCACACCTGCGCCGCCTGCGCCGCGCTGCGCCGCGGTGGCGTCTCGTCTCAGCACGTGTCGCCCTGTGACGGCGCGGCGCAGTGCCGCCCGAGCACGTGTTGGCCTCTGCTGGTGCTGAGGAGCGGCGCCATCACGTGACGCGCTCTGACAGCGCGGCGCTGTGGACCGCCACCTGTGACGCGTGCCTGCGGCTGGCCGGGCCGGGGGCCACGATTCCCCAATGTTTACCGGTTACCATAGCAGGGGCACGACAATGAAAGCCGCCTTTTATGCGGGTATCGATTCCAGCGCTGGCCCGGCTCGACTCGGCCGGGCCGTGCCGTGCCGTGCCGTGCCGTGCCGTGCGGTGGCGTAATGTGCCGTGTCTGAGGTCGGCCGCTCGCGCCGGCCGCCGACACGTCCAGGCCGGGACAATGCCCAGACACCAGACCCGAGTCTCCCTCCCCCTTCCACCAACAGTCCGCCGCCACCTTCTGTCACTGTCGATTTCTGTGGCGGCCTTTTTCACCCGTCTCGCTGGCACTTCATTTATGTATCATGTCAGATATGGATACCCCTGCTCACCGGTGGACGCATCCATCGACCTATCGATCAGCTCAGCTTCATCGATCCATTGATGGATTAGTATGAGAGTCTATGCATCTATCGATCTGTGCCGCTATTGGTGAGGAGCTGTCCGCTCCTTCCCTCCCCTGCTTTCTCCCTCCCTCTTCCTCTCGTGGGGTTGCGATGAATATATATGTCTCTAAGAAGGAACCTGGAGTACGTCGTCGCGCACCTTTTTATGGAGCGTCAGCGACTGCAGAGGCCGTATTAGCCCCCAGGAGCCATGGCGCAACCGGAGTTCAGCCCGGGTGGAAGCTGAAGATGCTAACCACTCTCCCCTGCCTCCTGTGTTAAGAATCCATTTGAAATTTAACGGGCGTTTCTCCAAAACCAAATTTTTAAGAGATAATCGGACGAGGTTCAAAGTGTGTTACCTTTGTGCCTCATAGGATTACAATATTGTCCGCGTGCTCAGGTTTGTTTTGTTAAATATTTCCAGGATTCCGGTTAAGATTCCCTGGATGTACATAAGTGCAAGAATCATTAGTGTTGTGTACTACGCTCGAGCTCTTGCGACACGCTTACTCCAGCCAAGTTGCCGTTGAAGGAGACATGGAAAAAAACGCGGCGCAGCACGGAGCGGTGGACAAGCTGATAACCATGAAAAAGAGCGCGCATTAAAATGATTACTTCCGGACAAAAAACATGGCTATCTTTCCACGAATTTTCGTTACGGAAAGGGCGTACAGCGTCTGCAGAGTCTTATGCCAGGACGTGTACGAATGGTCATCATCAGCGCGAGCGGGGCGGGATAACATGATCATGTTGTCGGGCCTCGTTCCAGGGTCCGCCATCTCCGCAAGTGATGGTGGCAATCCATGTATAGACTATGCAGGCAAGAACTTAACAAAGGTCACGACCCAGCCCACAAAAGCAGCTAAATCATGGGGACCAAAAAGGCGCCGCGTGCCGTTTTTGGTGCCAGCGTGCTCTGATATCTGGGAAGCAGGTCATCGGCGGAAGTAATACCAAAATCAATGAGAGAGACCGGCGTACTCAGCCAAATTTGCCAAGCACCGCGCAGTCTGTGCGCTGCATCACCTTCGATCTTGTGATCTTCGCCGCTAGGTGGCCTGCATCAGGCCGCTGGCGCGAGGCGTACACAGGTGCGCTCTGCGCGCTCAGGGGCCGCTGCCGGCCTCTGTCCAGTATGCGTCACTGGCTGCGGCGCGTGCCGGTGCGCGGCCGGCCGGCGGCTCCAGAGGCGTGCAGCGCGCACAGCTGTGTGTGCAGCGCGCACAGCTGTGTGTGCGGCGGCGCACAGCTGGCCAACTGGGTCAGACCTGCGGGCTGACTCAGAATGGACACCGACCCTAGCAGCACCGGACGGGTGGCCGGGCCGTGCGGCGGCGGACGGGCGGCCCGGCCCAACGGCACCGGACGGGCGGCCGGGTCGCGTGGCGGCGGACGGGCGGCTCGGCCCAGCGGCACCGGACGGGCGGTTCAGCCCAGCGGCACCGCACGAGTGGCCGGGCCGTGCGGCGGCGGACGGGCGGCCCGGCCCAGCGGCACCGGACGGGCGGCTCGGCCCAGCGGCACCGGACGGGCGGCCCGGCCCAGCGGCACCGGACGGGCGCCCGGGCGGCGCGGCGGCGCAGGCGGCTCGCACGTGCCACGGTCCAGCGGCGCGCCGGCGGCGCTGGGGCCGGGACCCTCCGAGTGTGACGACCACTTAGAGGGCTATAGTGCGAGACGGGGGCAGCGGGGTTGGGCTGGGGCACACGTCAGGCACGGCGACCGTGACTAAGACATGCACGGGGCTGCGCTAGGCGCCAGGAGTAATGAGTACCTTACAGCTGAGACTGTGGTACTCATTTTCCAGCCATAATAAGGACGTACTGGGCTCTGCGCTCAGACGGCGTGTTGTGTAATGTGTAGACGTACGGGCGAAATGAGCTGGAACGTTCATCAAGCGCTGTGCATGCTCATGTTGTAACTGAAGGATCGTGACCTACGCTTAGCAGCGAGCAGGTGGGAGTGTGTTGGCAACAGCTGTGTATACGCCATCCCTCGCAGCTGGGTTATTTGTTAGATGCACGACACCACGGGTTCACTAGATCAGGGGAAGAAGCAGGTGGGGCACCAGGTCACTACCGCAGGTCGATGAATATTCGGAGTGCATCAAATGGACGGAAGTGTTGGCGTGTGCGACTCCAAACTGTCATGGTGCTGAGAAAAATTAGTCTTTAAAGGTCGCCAGTATGTTGAAAACACACGTGAGAAAATGGCCATTTTGATGGCACGTGGTATGCGCGTGGGGCGTAATGCCGAGTGTTTAGAGCCCTCGGCTCCCACGTGGGGTGCGGCTGAGCCACGGCCTGTGGGCGGAAATATGACATCTGCAGTCGCTGGCGCTCCATAAAAAGGGCGCGTGACGACGTACGCCGTGTTCCCTGCTTATGAAGACACACGGTACGCCGCTGCCACGCCCGCCACACGGCATTCTCCGCCAACGCTTCCGCCACAGCGCGACCTGACCGCGCAGCCGGCGTTTGCCGGCGGTCCGGGCGGCGAGCGGCGCACACTCACGATGAGGCGGCTCATCCAAGCGGTGCGGAGGTGCTGCTGGAACGGCGAGCCCTCCTGCAGCAGGTAGACGTGGTACACCTTGGGCTCTGGCAGCTTCCTCGCGCCGCGCACGTCGTCCAGGCTGGTGGACCTCTTCTTCACCACCCTGCTGCAGGCCGAAATGGAATAGGTCGAACACCTGAGTGTGCTTTCGCTGGTGACAGCTTATTGTTGGCGTAGGAGCACTTGGAACCGGTGATGGACCGCTCCAACAACAAAGCCTCTTCGCAAACGCTTCTGAATGATACCTTTGTTGCAACATGTGTCAACATAAGCGTTTAGCCGCAACGTAAATGTTTGAGGGGCTATTTGCGTGGTTGCAAACTGTACAGCTGTATACCTGACCGCTTCCCAAACTATCAGTCTTAATTCGCATCTAAAGCAGGTTGTTAGACTGCGCATCAAAGGTTACAAGTCTTCGGCTATGCATGGAAGACGATGCATGTCTTAACATCCAACTGGGGCACACTTGCAAATAACAGATGGGACCCCAGCTCACAACGTACGACGCAATGCACTCTGCAAGTGCTGACGCGGACCAGCACATCTCAGCAGGAATGCGAAGCTCGGCATCTGACGCGGTGACCGGTGCCGGCTCCAGACGGACAGCCGCCCACCGGACGGGCGGCGCCGCTCACCCGTCGGCGCGCGGCCGATCCAGCACGCTGCGGGACCGCTCCGGCAGATCAGCCCTGACACTGGGCGAGCGGTGGTAGGCAGGCAGCGCGCTCTGGGAGCGCGTCATGCCACGGCTCGGCTCGGCCGCCGCCGCCAGCTCCGAGCTGAGCGAGTCCGGCGAGAGGGCGCGCCTGGCCGGGCGGGGCTCGGGGCTGCCCGAGGCGTGGCGTCGCTCCAGCAGCCGCGAGAGCGTCACCTCGTCACGCTCCGACGCGGGCGGCGACGCGTCCGACGGCCGCCGCCCGCTGCGGGCGGACGGGGCAGGCGGGTCAGCGGGCTCCACTGGGGCAGACGGCCGCCGAGGGTGGCGCCAGGCAGGGTCGTACTGGGGTCAGGGGGGCTGCTCTGGCGTCGGCCGGTAAATAAACACACCCTGTAATGTACGGAAAAGACACGGCGGAAAGCGGCCTCAAGGACTCAAGGCCTCACTAGACTATACTCAGATATCGAGCAGTGATCAACCGCGGTCACTCAGAGTACCGATAGGCTCTCACGAGATGGTCAGGTCACAGAACATCATCAAACCCACGGATCCGAGGTCGGAAGATATGCTCAATCGCAGAGGTGAGTTGTGAGCACGAGCCACGGCCAACGCGACCGGGATAATCAATCAGTCAGAGCTTGCTGTGTAAACGGCGCAGGTAGCACAGACGCACGCCAACAGATAACACACCACACAGCTGGTGATGACAAGGGGAACGATATATGAACAATGATATCGGGATGAAAGACGTCCCAAACCTGACTGCAGGTGACACGACCCTCGTCCCAAACCTGACTGCAGGTGACACGTCCCTCGTCCCAAACCTGACTGCAGGTGACACGTCCCTCGTCCC